GGACTATATAAACAGCTTAAAAGGTTTGCTAAAAGTGCATGATAAATGGTTGAAACAGATTAAAAAAAAAAAAAAAGCTGTGAGGCCCCTGTTGACCTATTGGTGGCTTCTTATGTCTTATAGTTTTAAATTGGAATATATGATACAGTCTTAAAAGTATTTCACAAGATAATGACAGACCTATTTTAGTTGTGTTGTGTTTATTGGTTCAAATGCACACTAATAAACTTATATGGAGTAAACCAGGGGCGTCTGGGACCTCTGGGTGTCCCCAGAGAAGTTGTCTTGTTCGCCATTGTTATTGCCATCTATCTTAGGAAAAATGCATTTCTCTGCAAAATCTGCTGCAAAAAATCCAGTTTAAGTTTATTTCCATCTATTATTAATCCTTTAAATTCCCTTTTCCTCAATCAAGTGACAGTAATATGCTATTATGTTATTGTGTTCCTACTGCTTCCAATAGAAATCAGCTTATTTCATGATTTCTTGTGCAAACATGTAATTCTGATGCTGTCCAATCATGGTTCAAGACAGTCTTGGGTTTGGAAACTTGTGCCATTGTTTGGCCCCACTGGCAGCACATCTTTTTTCACGTTGGAAAAAATAATATTGAAGTCAGAACATGAGATGGAAGGACGTGGACAGATGATTTTTGCAGCAAAGGGGACCAAACATGGTGCAGAGATAGGACGAAGGCTAAGCGTATTGGGCTGTTTGTGAGTGTGTGATGTTGTCCAGCCCCTGGCAGGGGAAGGGGTCTGAGGTCTGGGCGCCATGGAAACTGCCCATTGGGCCTCATTGGGGAAGAACATCATGCACACACACACACACACACACACACATACACACACACACACACACACACACACACGCACATGCTCTGTTTCTGTTGGACCACCGTGCAGGAATGAACTTATTTGTGGAAATGTTAAGAATTTAAGCAATGAGGCTTAGAAAGCTGAATGTGAACCAAAAACGAAACACTTCCCGATGCAGCAGCAGCAGCAGCAGCAGCAGCAGCGGGGTCGCCCTGGCAGCTTGGCACGATGAGGCTCTAGACCCTGGTGGTGATTCTTGATTGCAATTCTTTTGCATTTTTGTGAACTGAAAGTTGCCTATAGAGAAAAAGACTACAACCAGTGAAAAATAAACTTTTACAAAATAAAGACTAGCCTTGAGCATGAGACAGCGAGCAACAACCCTCTTCCTCCTCAGTTCTCTCCCACATGGCTGGCTCTCACTTTCCCTCGGCAGACAATGGCCTCTCTGTCTCGACTGTTTAACCGTTTTCTCACCTATCCTAAACGCTCACACACACATACGAGTGCAAATACAGACACCAGTTAGTGTAATTTTCATGTTTGCGCCTTTGAAACACACACGTATACGCATGTATGCACAAATTTAGACGTACACTCGCAACCAAAGAAGGGAAAAGCAGTAATATCAGTGGTGTGATACCATCCCGAGGATGCCAGGGCAGAACTGAAGTGTGGCACATGCCTTTGATGTGAATCCAGAGCATGGGCATGTAACAAACGCAGATACCAAATTACACCCTGTCCTGCTTTGATCTCTAAAACCCCATGCTTGCTTCTACAGAGGTAATAAGATTGTGTGTGTGTGTGTGTGTGTGTCAGCGAGTGCATGTGAAAGTGTTCTCTGGTGTTTGTGCACATCTTTTCCTGCAGAACACAAGCAAGCAGCGGTGCATAAACGCACGTGTATCTGCATGCATGAGTGCAAATGTGTTACAATGTGTGCAGCATGTGTATATGTGTGTGTGCAGTAGAGTTGTTCGTGCTGCAGCGCTACAGCGTCGGGCCGTGGGGAACTGAACCCTGGCAGCGGCTTGTACGCGCCTGGTAAAAACATGTTCCTGGAGACCTTCTGCCTGAGTTTGTCTTGTCGTCACGTCGTCCACTGTGGACTCCCCGCTCAGCCTCCACAGCCGATGATGATCAGGTTGCGTCTTGGATTTCCATCTGAACCACCCTCTAATCTCATGACAGTCAAGCGTGAACGGAACCACTTCTCAGCCCTGTAAGGTCAGCCCCTCGCAGGAATTAGCACAACACATGTTTATGTGTCCCTTAACGTGTCTGAGGTTTTGGAGTAGTACGCTGAGTGACGGATGAATCAGATATTGAGGCGACATTATGATCTAATTAGGAAAGTAGCGCAGTTATGGTTTAAAGACACAAGCGCTCTCCTGCTTTCCAGATCAAGCCCGGCAGTTCAGGAAGATGATGACAGATAATATCGCTGCCTTGAGATGAGCAACAGGAGGGTACTCAAAGTAACTATTAACCTGTAACTTTAAATGTCATCGCTCTGAAGGCTCACTCGTTAGCAGAAGTCATCAACAGTGCAACAAAGGAAATTGCTTTATATCGCTAGAGCTTGTGGAAATTAGTTTTTATTTTCTGTCATCAGATCTTGTAAAAAAAAAAAAAGTTGTCCCATTTTATTAAAGAAGCAGAAGTTGTGAAAAGTCAAGAAAGTATCACAAAAACCGGATAAAAAATCCTTACAAGCCAAAATATGTTGCATAGAACAAAAGAGAATATTCTGGAAAAACCATGTTACACGTAATACAATTAAGGCCTGCTGATTGGTGTCAAGGAAAGCTCACAACTAACATCTGCTTTCACCCATATTATGAACAATCCTGATTACCAGCTTCAACTGCTGAGTGCTGGTTTAGACAGTGGTCTAATAGTGACATTAGTGGACTTAAAAAAGGCAGCTGTGGCTCAGGTGGTAGAGCGAGTCGGTCAATGATCGAAAAGTCGGCGGTTCGATTCTGCCCTGTAACCTGTGTCATGGCCGTTGTGTCCTTGGGCAAGACACTTCACCCACCTTGCCTGGTGTGAATGCGTATGAATGGATTGTTTGAGGTGACGGTCGGAGGGGCCGTAAGCGCAGAATGGCAGCCACTGCTCTGCCAGGACAGCAGTGGCTGCGACTTTGAGTGTCTAGAAAAGCGCTGTTTAAATCTGATCAGTTTTTATTGCTCAAAATGTGAGACTTCTTTTGTTATTTTCATATAAGGCATGAGATATTGAACAGTTTTTATTCCAAACAGCTGGAAATGTCTGTTCTATGCAGCTTTGGGGAAGGACCTGTCTGATATTCTTGATGATGAGGAATAGGAAGATATCTGAAGAAATCAGTTTCAATCTGCAATTGTGCCAAAGCAGTATAGTTTAAGATACCACACAGGATGCACATGCTGTATCTTCCATCATTAAATGCAACACCAACACTGCTACTTTAGCATATTATCTTTGTTCTTGCTGTAAGCTGCAGAGCTACTGTAATATCTGAAACGGAAAAAAATATTGCATCTTTGGCATTGGAGTGTCTGCTTCTGTCATCCTGAGCCTCTCCAGGAGATATGCAACATCAAAAAAACACTCTATTGCAATGGATTAATGAAAAATACTAACTTGTAAAGGTTGGCAGAGGATGCTGTTGGACTTTAAAGCACCTTACATGGATGTCACATTTAAAAACAGAGCAGTTATGTAAAACCTGAAAGTTATTTTTGTTTTCTTCTCTTTAGAATTTATTTTATAATTACAAATGAATAAAATACTTAAAAATCTAAGCACTTGTTAAATAATCTTTATAAAAGCACATTTATATATATCAATATTTGCATTGCAATATGTGATTGGCACTGATTGATACTCCCAATGCAGCTCGTATGAAAGTAAAGAGACTTTGCATTGGGTGCATTTAAAAATAAAAAACGTGTAATGGAGTCATCAGAGTTAGAAGTAAGACATCTGGTGCATCCTGGTAGCTTTGAGGTGTCAAAATGTGCAATTGCAACATCCTCGGTTTAAGTTCGGCCTGGGCCCCACATTGCATGTGAAACCTAGTCTGTCTCCTCTCGTTTCATCTCTCTAATCGCTACCAAATAAAGCCAAAAATACCTGAAATATCCAAAATTCCTCAAGCAGGACTTGCCGTGTGTAATTGCTGTCATCTTCATACTTGAGGATTAATGTTTTGAAAATAACACCATGCTGATTAACAGCAACAGAACTGGAATGTACTGCAACCTCGACCTTTTATTATGCAGTAGAAAAACTATGGATCCATGTTGTGAAAGCTAAAACAGCTTTTCATAAACAGCCTATGTTGTGTTTTGTTGCTGTGCACTAAGTAGTAACCACCTCGCCATTAGTGTGTGTACGGCTTGTAAACAAAGCGGTGATTTGGGGGGTAATAAAGGGGATTAGCATTGGCTTGTTAGTGCCAAAAATTCTATGTTAACATGTTTTTTAAGTGGAAAAAACTATGCGTGTACGACAATTTGTCTCCCTGCATCCCTTGTTAAAAAGAGCGAACGAGTCATCCAGTGCTTGTAAATACCGGAGCAGCTCGGTCAGGATAATGAGGATGATGAGGAGGCTGCGGGAGGCTGAACGCACTTCACGGGAGTCTGGCGGCACTCAGTGGTGAATGTCTGGTAGTTGACATCAGTCCGAGGTCTGCGTCAGAGCAAAAAGGCCTTTGTGGTGTTCGTGTGACACTTCAGTCATTTTTGGACATTTGGAACAATGCTGCGGATAGTGATGACAATGCTGCTGCTGGTCAGTGATACACAACCATTATGCAAAGTGTTTACAAACACATGTAAACACTTGCCTGCCAAAATGGCTGAGTGATGTAATGGAAACTATGAAAGCGCCGGGATCTGCTGTCTCACCAGGAATAGAGGGCAAAGTGTAAAGCAGCAGTTGCCGTGCAATGTCAGCATGTGTTTCCATCCGGGTGTAAATACTGCGGTTTTGTTTTACTGCTGCGACCAATGTCCCATTATGTTTGGCTGTGGCAGCATTACACTGCCATCAAATGTTTTGCTCAGAGGAGAAATACACCGTGCTTGAGGAAAAAGGCAAGTAGCTGTTCAACAAGTGTCAAATAGGTTCCCGAGCTGCTTCATTTTGATCAGGCACTCGACATGTTTAAAATGATTTGGATTTAAGGACTTTTGTGCATTTTCAAGTACTCGCTATCTCCGTCTCTATAACACGATGCACATCTTGGATTTCCACGTGTTCTCACAGTTCTCTGCGTTCAGCTCGGCGTCGTTCAGTTCGTCAAACACTCCGCTCTCGATGATCTCCTTCTGCCACCGGATGGACACAGCACCTGTGCTGAACTCTCGGAAGAATTTCTCATCCTTGGCGTCGAGCTGGATGTCCTTGAGTTCGGACGTGTCCCTGAAGTCGTCGGTGTCTTTGGCGTAGACCACGTTGGGCTTTGGCACCCAGGGGGGATCCACCAGGCCGGCCTCCAGACGGTGGAAGTTGATAGACTTGAAAAACACGTGGCTTCGTGGGTCATCGTTGCTGCTGTTAGAGAAGACAAAGAAGATATTGGATGGAGAGGAATTAAAGGAAGGGAATTAAATAAACCACAACAGTGTAAGTATAGGGCAATAACAGTTGTTCTGAATGCATAAGAGAAAATGCTTATCAAGGTCATACACTGTGAAAGAAATCTTGTGAGAAAACCCCCAGTAATAATCTGGCAGCAAGAAACAAAACTGTGACAAACTGTGAAAATAATGCCAAATACCTGTTAAATGTTGATATTTTTGGCTGATTTAAAAACAGTAAAGCATTTTAATTTTCAAGTCACACTTTGCAAAAGAAATGTGAGTGTGCTTGGTTGTTTGTCTGTAAGTGTAGCCCTGTGATAGAATAGTGACCTGTCCAAAGTGTGCCCTGCCTTCGCTATAAGTCAGCTGGAATAGACTCCAGCCCCCCTGTGACCCTAGTGAGGATTAAGCAGTGTATAGATAATGGATGGATGGATGGATGGATGGATGGATGGACAAAGCATCATTCCCTAGTGAGGATTAAGCAGTGTATAGATAATGGATGGATGGATGGATGTTGTAAAAGAACAAATTACTCTTTGTCAAAATACAGATTTTGGTTGTTGTAACAATGTATATTTTTGCCCTGTCTTTATTTATTTATTTATTTTACTGTCAACATTAATATTTTTTCCTTTGCTTTTTCTAGCTATTAACAGTAATTTAAGGCAAAAAAAATTTAAAATCTGTAACGTGACAGTTTAAAATTATTTACCATTTTTCAGTCTCTAATAACCACTTTTTTTTCAAATAATAGTAAATATCTGTAAAATAAAAGTAATGTTGCTGATTTAAATACAGTAAAAAACATTGTAATTGTTTGATCAAATGTTGTAATTACATTTGAAAAAAATATTTCTTTTTTTTTTTTACAGTTAACATAAATTAAGGTTAAAAACTTTTTCAAAAAGCACATTAAAAAAAAAAAAAGAAGTAATAATAGCTTCATCACACAGCAACTTTTTCTGAGAGAGTTGTGCCAAAAAACAAACAAAACATCCACTGAAATGAGAAAAACAACATCAATACGAAACCATAAAGGACAGAAATACCAGAATACACATTATCAGCCAAGTCCTGCCCACTCACTGACATCTCAGTCACTCCCCTGTTAGTTTAATTTGTCTATGTGTTGCATCTGCTGGGCCACGAAAACTTATATCCTGATTTCCTTAAGTAGTATTGGTGACCTCATATTAAAACTAGTGATGCACAATGTTGGATTTTGCACATATCCAATATTTTTGAACATGTTTTGGCCAGTTGTCGATGCTTGATATCAATATATGCTCATGCTTCACATCAGAACATCAGTTCTGTAGTCAAATGAACATATTATTTTGCCTCCTGGCCCACTGTCAGATGCAACCTGGCAGCTGTTATTTTCTTGTCCTTATTCATTCTGGGCCGATGACGATATTTTATTTTAAAGCCTTTATTGACTGACACCAAAAATGCTGTCGATAACATTGTGGTTCCTTGAAGAAAACCCAGCACAGCTCTCTAAAACTTTAACCTTTGTAGACTATAACCATGTCTTAAAAGGGACTATTTTCAGTTTTGTGACTGCAGTGATGTTTGTAGAGGATCTAAGAAGACTAATCTGGACTAATCTAGCAAGTAATTTGAAAGAATGCAAAACAAAATCAAAGGACAGTCACTTAAATGTTTTCCTTATAAATGTGGCGCCCCCTTGTGTTGGCAAGGATGTAGTGCTTTGTCAGTGTCGCCAATTATTGTCTGGGCGGTAAAAAAAAACTAAACTTTTTGGTCCTAAGAATGAATACAATACATTACACATGTCAGTATGTTGTGCAGTTCAACTTGTCATATCCAGATTGTTATATTTAAGTAATTTTAGAAGCTTATATAAGTGAAACTTGCCAGCACTTCATGAGTAAAAAGACAGGAACAATACCTCTCTTTGTAGAATAACTTCCATATGTTTTCCCATCTTTGTTGTTTGTGTATTCATCTTTGACTCAAACAAATTGCCTCTCATGGGTTTAAGAAACTTGATTTATATTGTCATACTTAAATATATCTAAACCACTTGTCAGCACTTATTTCTGTCTTACGAAGAACAATGGCGTGTTTTCATGAGCCAGACTTAAATTCTCACCGGCAACCAAGGCGATGCTGAACCCTCTTCTTGAGAAAGCGGCTGATGATGTCTTTGGTGGGAACATCAAATCGCTTAATGTCGTACTTGCACTCGTCCTCCAGAGTGCGTCGAGTCACCTCCTCATTCTGCACCTTTTCCCTGAAGTCTTTAAAAGGCAAACGGGCCGCAATCATCTCGTAAATGCTGCAGCCCAGAGCCCACCAGTCCACAGATGTGCGGTAGTACTCCTGCTTCAGGACCTCAGGGGCCATGTAGCCGGTCGTACCAGCCTGAAACACAGAGGACAGTGGAAAAAGAAAGAGGGATGCATGAGACCAAAACTTTTATAGAACAACTTTTACAATTATAGATACTCTAATTCAATTTGCAGATGAATGGCAAGAAAAAGGAGTAAACACACACAAAAAAGAAAGGTATGGAAATGAAATATTAAGGGCACCAAGGTAAATGTTTATTTCCTTGCCTTTTTTTAAATTACTAATGCTGGATCTAGTCAGACTTTCTTTGTTTTTCCATGTGAATTACTGCATACTTTAAACTCCTCAGGCCAGAAAATAAGATCTGGCATAATGAAGACACTGAGATCAAACATTAAGACATTGTGTACATGCTTGTGGCTTGGACATGCTCATGACTGACCTACATTGAGCATTTAAAAGAATTAATAAGGACAAACAGGATTTTATTTTATTTTGTTTTATTTTATTTTATTAGCCCTGAAACCATCTCTTCCCACAGATCAAACAAGATTATCTGCTTCAATAAATGAGTCAACTTCAGTTAATTTCCTGCATCTGTGGCAGACCATCTCAACCAGCTTCCACATGATGGAACACAAAATTAAATAAATGCAACATGGAGTGCAATGTGACATGCTGAACAATAAGACACTGTTAGAGCAAATAGTGCTGCTTTAAGGGCTCCTCGATCAGAGACTCTGCTGCATCCCATTGTCTCTACTGAGTGGAGGCCTGCTGTGAATCTCCTGACTCATCCTCTTGGACAGACATGTGGCAGCCATATCTGGTATTAGTAAAGCAAAGATTAACCAGGTAATGCTAACAGGCTCCGGTCAATCTTCTGCCTATTGCGACGTCTAACCTGAAATGAGGTCAGGCCCCTTTTAATAAGATTAATTTGGACTACAAAGGGTTATGCACTCTCGTATTTACTGTCAGAGCAGGACTAAGAGCAATCGTATCTATTCCTGGTAAGCTGCTTGTGGTGGTGGGCGAACACTGTGCAGTGGTATTAGAAAGAGAAAACGGTGTTCATGTCAGGAAGGATTTCTGTGAGTGACGCACCAAAAACCAAGCAGTATTTATGATGATTCAATAGGGACCTTGGCTGTTCTTGAGTAAGCTTTCTTCTAGTTTGTACAGAATTTTTTACAGCAGCAAAAACAACAAGAAAGAGAGTGCTATCGCACAAATGACAGTGAGAGTGTAGGTTAATCTGGGGACAGATCACCCTACTAACCTTCTGGCAGATCATCTTGCCCCTTGGCAGCTCCACGGCCAACCCAAGGTCGGACAGCCGGCATTGCCCTTTACCGTCCAGCAGCACATTCTCGGGCTTCATATCTCGGTACACAATGTCCATAGAGTGCAGGTGGAGGATGCCGGTGGTGATCTGGGCCGTGTAGTAAACTACACGCTCCAAGCAGATACCCCTCACCCCCAACTCGTAGATGTGAAACTTGAGGTCTCCTCCCGTCATCAGGTCCATGACCAGGCACAGGTGGGTTTTGCTGGCGTAAGCGTAAGCCAGGTTCACAATGAAGAGGCTGCTGACCTTTTCCAGGATCTGTTTCTCCACGAGGGCCAGTCTCTCGCCACTTTTCTTCTTCAAACGCCTCTTATCTAGCTTTTTGCAGGCATACATCTGGCCTGTGTGCTTCACTTGCACCGCACACACCTAACAGACAGAGCAACATTACTTTAGATGATTTCATTAATTTAATGCAAGGTTTATTGATTGGCTGTAACTACACCATCCTGACATAGACTTCTGTTGCTTTTTGATTTAAAGCAAATGCAATGTAACCCTTTCTGAAAAAAGGCCACAAGTGACAATTCCAGGTATAAAAGCTAAAGCTTAACGTTATAGTAGCAGAAATTAGTAAAATAATCTTAACTGCTAATGTCTATCACCACCAAGCTAAAGTTTGCCATGTCAGACGGAAGCACCAAAATCCCTGATAGCATTAAATCAAGCAAGGGTGCATTTAATTGATAATAAATCCACCTTCTTATTTGCTTAAAACTGACAAAATCCAACTTAAATAACAGTTTAAAGCCCATTAAGCAATCTGAGATGTCCACTTTCATTTGCATCCTGGAGTTTTGGTACGTACCTCACCGAAGCCTCCTCTTCCCAACGTCCTGAACTCATAAAAGTACTTGTCAGTGATGTTCTGCTTCTCGTACTCCTTCCACTGCAGAAACCTGGAGAAGAAAGGACTCTTCTGGTACTCCAAGAAAGGTTTTCCTTTTAGAAAGTCCCTTGTGGCGTCTCTCATCTGCTCCATCACCTCATCATCAAAGTTCTTCTCTGTTAAATCCTTGCACATTTTAGCATTCTCTCCTGTAAGGTAGGAGAGGAAGAACTTGGACTCAGGTCTAAAGAACTTAGCGAGGATGCTCTGTTTGGCCTTTTGTCTTATTTCATTGTCAGCAAATCTCAAGGCACTCAGCTCCTCCAGGAACTCAGCAGCGGCCACGTACTGCGGGCTTGAACCACGGAGGAACGTCTGGAACAACTTCTTCCCAATAGGCTGCTGCTCACAAAGCGACTCGTACTTCTTCCCCACTGCTGCCCGGAGAGCCGAGGACTTCTTTGCTCTGGGCAGCGTCAGGGAGAGTCTCTGTTTTCTCAGCTCGTTCCGATCAATCTGCTGAGCTCTCAGGTAGGCCGTGTTGGCCACCAAGTTGTGCACCAGGTCACCCGGGGCGGATGTGTCCTGTGGCATCCTGGTAGGTAGCCGGCAAACAAAAAAAACCCACTAAAGTTCATCCATTTGCAGGTTCCAGGCACAACGGAGCAGCTAGAGCACCTGCACCTCCTGAAGCTCCCGTACCACGCCTGTTTGAGCCTTAAAGACGCCACTGTGCTCAGGGATTTGCTGGTTGCTAAGTGTCTTTGCACGTTTATTCGTAGACGGCACACAGGGAAAGCAACTTATGTGGTTTGACCTTAAGAGGCTTTAGGCTGATCTATTTTTAGCAGATACAAAGAGCCTGTTTGCACTAATTGTGCTGCCGGTGTGACATGATGAGGTGGCAGATCCTGAACTTAAGTTATGGTTGGTTATAACTTAGTATGAGATGAAGAGGCCTCTGACAGAGCTGTGTGTTTATAAATGAGCAGCATGCACAATTAAGGATGTGATGTAGAAAAAAGAACGAAGATTTCACTTAATTAGCCTTAATTGGTTAAGTCAGCAACAAGAAATTGAATTTTCCTGACAGACCACTGAAGTAGCTGCAGACTCTTATAGAGTTTACTTTCTTTAACATCCCAGTTGGCATTAAATTCCCCTGAAATGTGTCCTCATCCTCAACATTCTAGCTGCACAGATGCAATAGTCGTCTTAGTCATCAGATATCACACAGTTTGCGAGCCAGACATAGCTCAGTGTCTGCAGAGGTTGTGTAAGAGAACATTTTTAAAGCCAGTGTTGCACATTAAAGTGTAACTCTGCAGCCTTAAAGTCACCGTTACGTTAGATCAGCTACACATTAATACATTATAGACTTTATAAATGTAGTATATATTGTTGCTGACTCTGCATACTAATGGCAAATTTATGATACCAATTAAAAGCCCAACAGTCAGCAATTTACGGATGTTTTTTTTCGGTCTCCTATGGTTTCAGAAATCTAATGATAGTGAAACAACTGGCAGATTTAATCATGGAAATGATTGTTTCATGCAACCAATCAAATAATATATCACATTAAGGATACTTCTCACGTGGATCTTGCTGGAAAACACTGAGAAGCTGCTTCATGTTTGCCTCCCCTGCATGTTCAGGAAGGTTGAAGCAGCGACCTTCCACTCATTAGCCTCGTGTCTAAATCAATTACTAAGTCCAGTCTCCACCACTTACAATTTTCCTTATAAAGAAAACTGTGCTCAGCATTTTTTTTTTTTGTGAGCTGCATTATACATAGGGCTGCAGAAATTCCAGAAAAAGCTTTTTATAATGTGGCTGAAATACAATAAAATGCTACAAAACTGAGAAAACCTTTACACATTTTGGCACGTTTCATATAGACTTTGGTTGATCAAAATCCTGGCTGGATTTAATGATTTCTCTGAACAGGTTACAATCAACAAGGTTAAGGTTTAAAGGTTTAAACTGGAACAAGGCCAGCCTTACTATGCATGCAGAACAAGTGCTTGTGGTTTAGTGGTTAGCATGGCTATCTGCCAGGTAGTTCACTTTGGCGGCCAAACTACTTATGGCAGTTAGGTGAGTCCATCCTGTGAGCAGCTACAAACACTTGGTTTGCATGGCAGGAAATTTGGTGTTTTTTTTTTTTTTTTTTTTCTTAATCACTTCCAAAGACAATATTAAGTATCTATTGCCATTCACAAAACATTCTGCAGGAATACTCATCTAAATCAGATTGATTCAGACCTCTAGCTATCATAAGTTACCTGTTTAACCAAATGAATTCACAGAAACAGTTCAAAGTTCAGTGTGTTTAAAATGTTTTTTTCCAACTTTGAGCATCAATATCATGGGTTGTATCATAGTTTCAAAGGCAAAACTGCACCAGTGTGAGTCATAGAAACAAGGATTGCTATCCTAAATGTGTTTTCTGTTTAATGGTGCTCACTGGAGAAAACTTTTAAAAGTGCTTTTTGCTGTTAAACAAATACAAGACTTTAGCTTTAGATTGCAACACCTTAAGTGGATGTAAAATTCATTTAGCTGCAGTTTTAACAAAGCTCAAATGTGTTTTATTGCTAGGAAAATTGCATGTGGCTATCTCATGTTCTTTACTAGGTTAAAAAAAAATCCAGAAAAAAAATAATGAAATTAAAAAGCATGAAATTAAATCCATCCCTATGCACTTTAAGGGCCACAAACTCAGAAAATAGTCATAGTACGAATGTAAACTTTAGGTATAAAACATACTGCTAGCTTGGCAAGCAACAGCGTACTTCTCTAAATCTAAACTAAAACATTTGTTGTAGGATTGCATAAAGCACCACTTCCCTCATCTTCACCTGTTTATAAGAAATGTGTACCAAGTATTAAATCTCTTGATGGAAAAAAACAACAACAAAAAAACATATTACAGCTATTCACAATTCTTTATTTTTAAAAAGACAGTCAAATATTCAAGATGTGCCACACATCACCACAGACACCAACGTAAAGCTAACATGTGACCAAACACTGCAACACTTTTCATCCTTCTCTACGGGATCCTCGATCCCCTCAGCCACGTCTACCAATCGAGCCTGTGCAGATTTAATTTTCTCCATCATCCTCCTCTGATACCAGGACTACTGGAAACATGCAATCATAAATAGGAGGACTGCTTTGAGATGGCTCCACACGGGGCGTTGCAGTAATCATTGTCAAGTCTGTCACCACCTTTGGGTGCATTCAGTCCACCTGGATGTGAAGCTTATTTGCCGATTCTCTGAACCACCCAGTCCTGTTGGCAGAGGGGGCAGCGATTGTTCTGCTTCACCCAAAGGGACATGCAGCAGTTATGGAAGGAGTGATTGCACTCTCCCCATACGACTGAAAGACACAGACAGAGCATGGCAAATTTAATTAAAAAGAGCATCAATGAATGAGCATATACAGGGGACACATAACATATACTGTAAAGATGAAATCAGAAAATGTGACATCAATATTTAAAATATTTTTGAGGAGCAACTAATTAATTTAAGCTCTCTACGTTGTATTAATCTGGATAAAGTCAGTAGTTTCTAGTGTAATGCAACACTGTGCATTACTTCACATAAGATAGTAGCTGGGTTGCATTATGGTAACTTATTTAGCATTTGTATCGAACATAAATAAATGGACCTTTAAGTCTACTTTCAAGATGACCAACATGAGACTGTAAATTACAGAATTTAAAGCCCAATTCTCTGTGATTAGCTGGCTTGGTGGCTTCCTGTGACAGCTCACACAAAGTAGCTAATGTTAGCTTGTTGGATTAACCTGCTGAGCGCTAATAAATGTTTAAGTGCTTAGGCTATCTTACCAACACAGTCCTCTTGTTTATTCTCCGCCTGGCATCGGAGACAAGCGTCTGCAAATCAAGAAAGAACATGTTACAGTACCATTACGCCGGGTGCTTCAGGTATTAATGGTAAGATTAGCCACGTTAGCTCCATTAGCCGGGTATCCGAGCTAGGCTAGCCGTCTAACGCTTGACAGTTCCTCGGACTCACCCATTACTTGCACCCGACAAATGGCACAAGTGTCACATTCAACGTCCCAGCTCCACATTGCTACAGCATTCCACTTCTTTAGGGAGAACATCTTGTCCCCGCCCGACTTAGAGCCCGAAGAAGTGTTGTGAGAGAGGACTAAACCCGGCTCGTCACCGTCATCCATCTCTGCTGCACGGTAAATACGGTAACGTTAGCCAGCCTAGGTTAGCTTAGCTAAACAAAATGGACGAAACGGTCAAGGCGGCGATGCTAATGCTAACTGGTTTAGCAAGCGTCTTGTCTCCATAGCGACAGAAGAGGGAGCTGTTTTCCAGGACTGGAAGGTAACAAAAATACACATCACACACTTGTCAAAACACTCATACACATATCCAAATGTTTTAATAGAACATGGGGCGAGACAGAACAAATACAGAGGAATAAAACAGTCTACTTTTAAGAAAAAGGAAACAAAATTACTATTAGCTAAAAAAAAAAAAAAAAAAAAGTAATCTCTGCGTACACTAAATACTTTTATTCTTTTGTTCACTTTCATCACAAAGTGGATTTGTGTGGGTATATATGTGTTTGAATGACACACATGCGAAATATGGTCTTTAGTACTATAAATTTAATACGTTCCATAAAAAATATGTTTGAAATGGAATATTACTTGAAACCAGCCTTCTTAACTTGACAGTTTCGGTTTCCTACATATTAAATACTGATTACACACGCATATAGCACAACTATTCATTCTTTAACCTGTCATACTATTACTCTGTCTGTAGGATCCTGCAGACATCACATTTTGCATTAACAATAGTACAGGTCAGAATACTGAGTTAAACAGACACCAGCAAGTGCTTCTCCTTCAGCTTCATGCACATTGAGTGGTTTGATGTAGGTTCTACTTTGGCTTTTCTCTTTTGTTGCCGTATTGTCAGCATTTTTGGAGTATGACATGGTAAAATTTACAGATGTCCATCAAATTGTACCATTTTTTACACTAAGATATGCAAACATGATACCAAAAACTTAAGTAAAGGGTCAAGTCAAGCGTGGAGTCAAAGAAGCTGGGATCTTAACTGGCTGAACAATGTTTAGTGCACCCTGATCCTTTTGTATGAATTCCTAGAATTACCATTTGTTTATTTTCATAGAAACACGAGCTCTTATTAGCCGTTGCGGAAAATAATAGGGTAGTTTTAGACAATCTGATTTTAGCCAGAATCACCAGATTAATATTAGTCAATTTGAAATTATATACACATTAGGATAAAATTCTGTATTCACCAACATGTGTCGTAAACATAACAGGATCTTTAATTTAAGCACTTCTTAAGCTGCCACAATGGAATTCTCTCTGCTGTTTGACCTCACAAAGTCTACTGAACAGACAGCATGGAAACATCTGCTTTTATTGACGGAAACTGACCTACTGACAAGAAAAATAAGTTCAGAAGTCAGTTCACAGTAAATTACCATCAAATCAAATCAAATCAAATCCTCACTGATGTACTGCATGTGGGTTGTTATTTCAATGAAAATCATATGTCTTGTAAAATCCATGTGATGGTACAAAACATTATCATTTCTTTTGTTATGACGGACTGGAGATAAAGCGTGTGAGTCTCAGTAAAGGATTGTCTGGAGATGTATGCATGTCATTTATTACATGTGCATCTCAAAATATATGTCAGTTGTTTATGATCCTGAACCCTAGTGTTTAATTTTATTTCAGTCAATGTGCAGCAGAGTACCTCTACAGGTCAGACATCAGCGGAAGACACCAGGGGATGGACAGTAGTGTTAAAGGTTTCCAGAGCTCCTTCAAGAAGAGTTCTTTCTGTTCTGCACGTTTTGTGGTAGCTGACAACTTTCAAGTCTGCAAGAGACAAGTGCAAATGATTGTTCCCAAACAGGGAAACGGTGACTATGCCTAACAGATCTGTGTGTTTGAGCAGCAGAAATGATGTGATAACTTGACAGATTTCGAGAAGAGCCATGAAATTACGGGATACAGATTCAAACACCTCTTTTGTCAAATACGTCAACTTATCTGCAGATTAACACTGGTTTATTGCAGTATAAACTACTTTAACACTAAAGATGGTTCTCGTTTCTTAACCTGATTGAAGCCATGTTTAGTTCTTCCTGAAAACCCGTGCATGTGTGCTTTTGGTTTAAAAGAGAATAAAAAAAGCTGTGAGAAGAGCTGAACGATCTTCTGAAATGGCCTTTACAAATGGTGGCAAAAGGGTGAACTGTGGTGTTACTGAAAGCTGGATGTTGTCTTAGAATTGCAGGTGTATTCAATCTTAGAATCTGTGTGGTTTGGTATCATTGAATATAAACAACATAAAGAAAACAAGTGATTTGTCTGAGGAGATAAGGAGTGAAATAATTGCCAAGCAGAGTCAAGATAAAGGCTGTGAGATCATCTCCAAGCATCATGACGTTCCTGTAAATTTTATTAGGAAATTTAGTTGGCTATAGTCCATGGAACTGCAGCCAACCTCCCTGAACGTAGCCCCAAGAGGAAAATCAAACTAATTGTCCAGAAGGATGTTTTGACTGATGATTAAACAGAACCAGGAAAAACCTCAAAACAGATACAAGCTGACCTATGAGCTGAATGTACAACAGTGTGTGGTTGTTTGCTTCCTGAACGTAAGTGGGATTTATATAGAAGGACAACTCAGGACAGCTTCACTTTTGAAAGAGAGGTTCAAAACTTGAATTTGCTCAAATTAAAGTTGAGAAGTCTCGATGTCCTTTTGCTAAATTAAACTAAATCCGACCTTTTGGTTGAGTCACATCAATTCCACATTAGCAGGAACAAATGTCCTGAAAGTTTCAGGGAAAAGAACACCGCAGCCACTGTGAGTCTCAGTTGTGTTCTTGATGCTTTGATGCGTTGGCAGAGACTGACTTGACTCTGTGCAGAACATAATGAAATCAGAAGCTTATCCAAGTATTGTGGAGGGAATGCATGAGAAGAGCACATTGATCCATTCTGGAGTCCTGCTTTTTAATCCAATTAAAGATCTTTTGAAAGAGCTGAAACTCACAGTTGGGAGAAGACCTTCATCGAACCTGAGAGAACCGGAGCTCAAGAAGGGTAGCAGCTGAAAAGAAGTCAAGGGTGTCAGATAAAAAATCAAAAATGATCCATTAAATATAGAACAGATAATGATGGATAGCAGTTTTGTTTTTTTGTTTTTTTGTCAGTTAAACTTTTTAAACGAAAGAACACAAATACTTTCGACCTATCTAAATATAAACTCTTAATATAAACATCAGTGTCATTAGAATGAAATCGTGTTCAAGAGGGACAGCGTTGCATTTCTGGTTTTGCTATTATTTAGCTAATTAGGTTTGACTAGTTTTCCATCAGCTGTTTTCTTTTTGTTTTTTTTATTTGTGGTTGATCGCAGGGAGCTGGAGCCTGTTCTAGCTGACATCGAGCAAGAGATGGGGTGAATCCTGGATCTTCATTCCATCACAGGGCAAACACAAAGAAACACAAATACACCTACAGCCAATTTAGAATCACCATTTAACCTTTTGTGCACGTCTTTGGGCTGTGGGATATACAGTTGCAGGAGCACCCGGATGAAACCCACACAAGGACCAAGGAGAACATGCAAACTCCTCACGGGAAGGCCTCAGCAAGCAAGGAATTTTAAACCCAAAACCATGTCGGTGTGAATTGGTAGCTGCTGCTCCACTGGGCTGTTTTTGGGTCACTTTGCTTGTTCTAGTTTATTTGAGGATTATGTGCTGTGGCTCTAGTGCCAAATTCGAAGCCCAATCTTGAAGAGGTCCCTGAGTTATAAAAGTATTTTTTAAAGAACAACTTAATAAGAACTTAATTTAAGTGTGTGATTCTGGAGAAAGATTGTCACAAATGTGTCAGATTGACTCTCCCTCTCGCTCCTGCTGCCCACTTTCCTCATGCCTCCCCTCGACCTTCTGTTTCCCCCTTTTATGTGCACGAGCATTAATGTGCACAAACATGCACAGGACACGCTGGAATGATGTTGTGTGAATCGATCTGAACCACTTTGCCTGTTGTGATTGAGAACCTTTTTTTCTCCAGCACATACAGAGCAAATATCAAACTATGAGAGATAATTGCTAAATTTGACATGAAGTGTATTAAATTGGTATCTCTGACTCCACCTTCAAACCATCACCTAGCACATGTGGGAGCAAAGAGAGTTGCAACATCGATTAGAGAGTGGAAGGAAGGAGGGCTAAGAGGTCCCAGCCGCTGTTTTTGGCTCCTCATCTCCAGTCATGCCTGTACTGGTGAGCCTATGCCTCATCCGCTCAACACGTTCTTGGCAGAGAAGATGTGTTTGCATACAATGCAGTACATCCCACACAGCATGCACATCTTCTCCTCCGCACTCTGCTGCGGCTGCTTATGGCCAACTTCTGTGGTGTCCATTGATTTACAGCTATAGACTCCAGTCCTTATGGAGTAACAGTCAAGAGTATTGTGAGGTTAACAGACTACAACAAACAGTCATGACTGCATGGGAGAACACTGATCTGCTTTCCATCTGGGACTTACACATGTCCAGACTTAGGAAACTGGCCGTTAACTCACTGGCCGTTAACATCACTGCGAATCCTCCTTCACAAAAACCGTTTCCTTCCACAGACCATCACTCTGATGAACAATTAAATTCATCTTTAAAGACAGGTGAAACTCCTGAGTTGTAAGTATGTAACCCTGAACAACCACTGCAACTCCAAATCCTGAATCTGTAACCCTGCACATACTGTATATTATACAGTGCTGCCCACCTAATGTCATAGAATATAGAAGAATATTCATAGAATATCCCGTTTATAATCATAAAATATTCAAGTCCTGAATCATTTCCTATATAACCTGTAGTACAACATCCCGTTTATTGTCATAGAATGTCATTATCCCGGTTTTTGTCGTGACGAAATTCCCAGCAATTGATTCCAGGAATAACTTTTGCCCATTTAAAGTAATGGTCAGCAGTCGTTACAGTTCACGGGCCAAGCGTTGGTCATGCGTGGCAGATTGTCACACCCCGGTCACCCACTGAAGGCAATATGTTTGTTTATTTGTCAGTAACCTGCTCACCTGAAATCTACTTCACTGAATTATTCACACACTGACATTAATTAGGGCACATTAAAGAGAATTGCATTGTTGCAGAGCATTTCGTCACTCACAACCGAACGGTTCAGCTAGCTAGTCATGATAAGTTAATCCTCTGTATACCCTCTGATTAAAGGAAATAACTTTTATAGATGGGGTGGCTATACGTACTGACAAAGGTGAAATTCCACTGAAGCAAAACCTTAAAGCTCCGTTTGCATAAACATTTCTTGATCTTCAAAGAAACTGTCCCTTTGATTTTGTGAAAACATTCCCATTTTGGCTTCATAAACCCTCATTTTTCATCACACAGACACAATTTTCTCACTGCTCTATCGTTAGGGACACTTTGATGGTATTCTTATAATAAATAAATAATAAGCCCGCTTATTGGAATATCCCGGATATAGTCATAATTCCATCCTGGACTGAGGGTATCATAATAAATGGGCAGCACTGTATTATATTTTCATTGTAGCAACGTTTCTCCTGCTTCAGTCCACCTACATCATGTTAATAAAGTGTAAATAAATGTATTTATAGTTAACAACTGTACTCTTCAGCTGGCATGATTTGCACTTATCATTGGTTCACTTTAAACATGCTTTTTTAAAACCACATTTATTACTGTACATAGTTGTAAAACACTTCTACGTGTTCACATACTGAAGCTGGTTCTGATTTTTATAGCGACTCAGGTGTCCGACTGTCCCTGAACGTAGCAGAGGCTGCAGCCCTCATGCTCTCTACATTGGCCCTAGTGGACATTGTGCACTAACGCAGTACGTGCCTGCAGCTCCTCGGGACTCTGAGGGCTTCAAGTGGAAGTGAGGATAGCTGAAGCTGCTTTGAAACCAGCGGATCGGGAGTTTGAAGCTTCTCAGAGGGGAAATCTGTGTTTCACATCAGTGGATTTATCATGACTGCGAGGGTCCAGGGAGCAGCTGGTCGGGACAAAGCAGCGCCCAAGAGCCGAGCAACAGGTAAGTTAGTGAGGGAGGAGATGCTGGAGGTAAACTGATCCATCTGTCAGCTGCAAGAGATTGTGACAGGGACTTTAAAGTAGTTTTATCATAATCAGGCTGCATTGTTTTTCTGTAGAGTTAGTAGATTTAGATGTTTAAAAAAAAAATCAGAATCATTCCTTATTATCAGATAGTTATTGCAACTATAGCAAAGATTGCTGTGTTTTTGGCTGGTGCACAGCTGTAAGATTCCCCTGTATGCATTTAATGATGACAACTGTATAAAAGAAGCTGACATCCAAACTCTTGTCAGTCAGCAGCTTCTGTAGTAGCTGCTCAAACCATTTCAGGTCTAAAGCCATTTATACCCACGTACACCATTCCTAACAGATTAAAATAAATCAGTCATTGAGGCAGTTAAAGCAATTTCTCTGCCCCTCAGGTTTAAGTTAATATCTTAAACTGTATTAGCTCACTGCAGAGTGATGGATTCTACATTTTTCCTTCATCAAGGGCGTCACTCCTGCTTCAAAGTAAATGTGGTGATTTCTTCCATATTAAAACAATTTGTCATTATAATGGTGTTGTAGCGTAATGATCATGTTCATAACTGAGGCTGGCACTGTTGCTCTGTATTTACTGTATGACATCCAGCATGTTTCTCCCATAATCATCCATGTTAAAGAGGCAGATCTTACTACTTCAACTCTATGTTAATAACTATGGTGGATTTTATTCTTCATTTGTAGTAAAATAATTTACACATTTTTGTATTTCTGTATAGATTACTACACAAGTTTGTTTTTTTTTGAGGAGGAGTAAAGGTTTATTATAGCAGCTGAATTCTAATTTTGCATTGCCGCCTGCTGTAATCCTGTTCTGCCGACATCTTCATTTTCAAACACATTTAGAAGTATTTGCTGCAGCTGGCTTCTTGAAGGGGGTGTTATAAGTCATTTGTACCTAACTAGACCATAAGTGATTTCAGCTGCTCAACCTCTTGTTGTGTATTTCAGAAGTTGTGTCCCTCTGGGATCCTTATTTGTTCTTGTTTCTAAGAAACATTTACTGTTTGTTTTCATCAAGCTTATATAGTTTCTTTGTTAGTTTCGTTGAATAAACAGATGCAATGTATTTACCTTATGCTTTACCTTAGTTCACTGACATTTCACGACATTTACATTAAGGAACATGAAGTCATAGCATTGGAATATTTGTATTCATGATGAAGCTAAGATAAATTTGGCCAAACTAAAAGCAGACTCTGTTGACTTTGAAATTAAACTAGAGTTATGCAGCAGCTGGAAATACTGTGTTCTGATGATTTTGCGTTGTACCGTGTAACATGACTGAAAGTTTATTTTCTCTTCTGTGGCGGCAGAGATAATGGTGAAGGTCAGGAGGGCTCTGTGGCTCGTACTGGGCATGCTCAGTCTGTCCACGCTGCTGGTGGTGCTGGGAGTCTATGCCACCACTCGAACCGAAAGCCTGAATGTGACTGGCTACGCCTCTGGAGTTATTGTAAGTTGTTTATTTTCCTCACTGTCATGACTTTTTTTTCAGCCTGATGGCAGAATGTTAGGATTACAATAAATCCTGAAATGTTGGTTTTAAGTTTACAGCCATCAGCGGGAAGTTTTCAAAGGTATCCAAACATCCTCAGCATGTGATATCCATTATGAAATTAAAGCTGCAATCCTTCACTCTTGTTGCTTCACTCGCTGCGGTATTGAAAACATTTGCTCTGACGGACACAGTTTTAGGTAGACCGTGAAACTGATGGCTGAGAGTTGGACAGCCAGTTGCTCACTCATCTGGCATTCAGTTTGTCTTCTGTTTTTCATGCTGGAAGAACATGTGTTGTCAGATTTCTCCTGAACTGTGTCCACCAAGAGATATCGGTGTCCAAATATAAGTCAGAGGGATGGAAAAAAGCAAACCTTGACCATGTTTTGCAACAGTGTTTAACGTAAAACATACTGCGAGCATCCAAATTTGGACCACAAGAGCTGCTTTCAGGCATGACACTGCAAATGTTGCCATTTTATTCTTCATTTGGCTGATTTTTTTTGTCTTGGAAGGAGGCCAAATCAAAAGTTATACAAAATCAACCGTATTTCATTCAATTTGCACAACACTTATTGTTTTATTTATTGTGTCCGCTGCAGCTGACTCTTGGATCTTTCCTGGGACTTCTGGGACTCCGTCTGGAAGAGAACCGCAAGCAGCTGGTATGTTCTTCTGCTCTTCCCATGTCATTTTAACAGACACACACTTACACAAATACCTGCATTATCTGACAATATCTCGTAATTTTTCTCCTATGCTCTGAGCTGCCAAAAGAGAGAAGGCCCAGGAGGGACGTACTATGACAGAGTGCTGCTCATATAGCCGACATCTTGCCAAGATTTTATCACATTGTTTTTGAGGGCACAATTCAGTTATTGAATCAGTGCTTTCGGAATCCAAGAACTCAGATATGATTGTGAACAGCAGGCAGAATGTGTGAGAGTGACACTCAGCATTTACAAATTTTGAAGGTGTCTTTTTTTTATTATCCTTTTCATAATCTGAAACACCAGAGCTGAAATGTAAGGAATGTCTTAAGCAGATGTTTATGTTGACCAGTGTCATTGGCATGTCCAGCTGACAAACGCATTAAACTACTACCTCATAGAAACATTTTAAAAGTTTTACTTTTTGTCTGGATCACAGCTTTGCCCTCAACCTTTTAGCATCACCATGTAGCAGTCAGCAGTTTGGACACGCCTACTCATTTAGGAGATTTTCTTTGTTTTTTCTGTTCTTTCTGTAAAATAAAACTGTGAATGTATGATGGTGAGAAAAATGTAAACAAGTCAAAATGTCTTTCAGGTTTGCCTTGATGGCAGTTTTGCGCACTATTGTTAGAAGTTAATTTGTGGAACTCCTTGTCTTTGTGATGCGTTTAAGTCCCTTAGGTTGTGTTGTTTACAGCAAATAACCCCACTTGTGTACACTTTTAGAAGTCAGAAAACCTGAAGGAACCTTTTGGAATTTATCACCATCACCACTGTTTCAATTCCAAATGAGTCCTTTAAGGAACCCCAGCAGCAGACATTACTAACCGTTTTGACATCTTTATACTTACTCCTTATTGTAGTAGAATCAAATACGAGACAGTATTGTACATGTCACTAAGTATAATGGTAACTTTTTAACACTGAGACAAATAGGGACCTTGTCATTACTGTTGCGAGTCATTTACACACATATCTGTCAGCAGAATGTCAGACAAGATCACAGTTTCAGAAATATTATATTATAGACTTGATAAAGGGCTGCACGGTGGCTCTGTTGTAAGCACCGTGCAGCCCCCCAGCTAGAAGATCCCTGGTTCATGTCCTGTTTAGGATGCCTCAGATCCTTCTGTATGGAGTTTGCATGTTCTCCCCGTGCAGCGTGAGTTCTCTTTGGGTTCTACGGCTTCCTCCCACACAGTCCAAAAACACGCTGAGGTTAGTTGGTGATTCTAAATTGTCCGTAGGTGTGAATGTGAGTGTGCTTGTTAGTCTCTCTGTGTAGCCCTGTGATAGACTGGTGACCTGTCCAGGGTGTCCCCTTCCTTCACCCCGAGTCAGCTGGGATAGACTCCAGCCCCCCGCAACCCCAGTGAGGATTAAGAAGTGTATAGATAATGATACTTGTTGAAATCTTGCACATAATTACAGTAAAACTAAGGTTTATAATAACATAAATGAAAAAGTGTAAGTACAGGTGTAAAGTGCCAGTTAGCCCTACACCTAACTCTAGTTATTAGAGGTTCCTCCAGCAACATCTTCTCTGAACTGAGCTGTTAAAGATTCCTCCAGAAAGCCACCAAGCAAGCAGGGTTCCTTGAGGCTCTCCTGATTCTGGCAAAGTACTTACAGTAATTCATATAATGCAAAAAAAAAAAATGTTCAGCTATGTCAAGGCAAGTTTGTTTATTTCTGTATGCATGTGTAGATTCTAGGTCATCCAGGTCATGGGTATGTTAAAGGCTTTAATAGAAGGCAACTGGAGTTCTTTTTTTTTGGTTCCTGAAGATCTTTCACTGCTTGTCTAAGAGCCTTCCTCAGTTCACACTATCTCCCCCAAATCGCATATCTAATGGCTCGTTGACAACCCAAGAGTTACATCACTCATGTGAATGGTTGTCAGACTGCCAGGTCAGCAGTAATTCAACATGTTAATGGTGCTGAAACTTTCTGGGAAGAGATCTCAGAACTGCATTATAAATACCTGATTATAGTGGTGTGGTTAGACCCCCTCCTCTGTTCAGAGAAGGCTGTTCCAGTTAAACATACAGTCATGGAAAAAAATGTTAGACCACCATTGTTTTCTTTAATTTCTTGTTCATTTTAATGCCTGGTACAATTAAAGGTACATTTGTTTGGACAAATATAAAGATAACGACAAAAATAGCTCATAGGAGTTTAATTTAAGAGCTAATATCGAGCCATTTTATATGGTTTTCTTGATATCAACCAAAATCACTGAAGTTCTTACATCAATATGGCATTGTACTGCCAAAAACAGGGTTCTTTTTCTAACTTCGCTCCAACGTCTGTCTGTGACAGACCAGTTGAGCCGGGCTCTAGGCTCCGCCTCCTCCTATTGCTATGGCCAACCGACCACTCCTCAATCATTCTCGCTTTCTTCCCGTGTGGAACTACAACAAAGCTCCCTCAGCGCGGTCAGGCTAGCTCGGTTGACTGTTTAACAGTTCTCAGACGTCCCGTCAAGGATACGTCGCTGAACGCAGTTTCCGACTCTGGTCTGAATTTTTTTTTTAACATGTTATTTTTTTCTGCAATGAATGAATTACAATTAATGTGTTAAAGTTCCAGCCCTAATGCTTACACAGACCACTCTGGAGCCTAGATGCAGCATTTTGAACTAACTGAAACCAGGATATTAGCACCTAGTCCAATCCTACATATCACAACTTATTGTAATCCAGCCTCAAACTGAAAAAACTTGAGTGACCTCCTCAAGGTCTTAAACTCAGGCCTAATTCAAAAAGAAGAATCATCTAAGTAAAGCGAAAACAACGCTCCATCAGTATTTTTTTATTTTATAAAGGCTAGTCAGTCAGGGGCTGCAGGGTGGTGCAGTTGGTAGCACTGTTGCCTCGCTGCAAGAAGGTCGCCAGTTCGTGTCCCGATGGGGGCACCGGAATCTTTCTGCGTGGAGTTTGCATGTTCTCCCCGTGCAGCGTGGGTTCTCTCCGGGTTCTCCGGCTTCCTCCCACACAGTCCAGAAACATGTTGAGGTTAATTGGTGATTCTAAATTGTCTGTAGGTGTGAATGTGAGTGTGCTTGGTTGTCTGTCTCTAAGTGTGGCCCTGTGATAGACTGGTGACCTGTCCAGGGTGTCCCCTGTCTTCACCCTAAGTCAGCTGGGATAGACTCCAGCCCCCCATGACCCTAATGAGGATTAAGCGGTGTATAGATAATGGATGGATGGATAGTCAGTCTGGAAAATTTCAAGAACTTAGAAAAATTTGCAGTCAACAAAACCTGAAACTCTGTCATGAAACTGGCCGTGTGGGAAGGATCGCGGCAACAAAAAAGGTAGACTTCCCCATGCTACAGTTATTGGCCTGAGACTAGAGCCCACATCATTATTTCCCAGAGTTCAAGCAGCAGACACATCAACATTTTATTAATGTATGTATTTTTTACTACTTTCATCATAGAGTGCAACCATTTGGTTGGACTGTGTAATCTGTTTTTGATTTAACAATTGTAGAGTTTCTCAAGTATAAAAAAAAAAAGAAAATGAAAAGAGCATCAGAGCAATCACGCAAAACAGGCAATTTGTAAGAATCATCTGTCTTTAATTCAATTATTGAATGTTAATGTAGTAGGCATGTGGAAGGGTTTTTTAATAAGCTGCAGCATGCTCAGTGTTTTTAATATGTCTGTCCTCCTGCCCTTACATGCTGCTCGCATTAAAATATTAAAAACAACATTAAGTGACTGCAGTAGATGGAAAAAACAGACATAGATGCTAGCTGACTGTTCAGTTGTTTTTTGCACATTTATTTGACTAAAACACGGCTCTGGACAAGGCAGCTTATTTAAGAGTTTGTGAAAGTGACGTCTGTTGACTCTTCTGTCCTGGTTCACTATCTTTTCCACATCGGACACAATAAAAAGCTCATATGGTTGTTTAAGTAAGAAGCATGTTGCTGCTGAAGTAATTGGTCTGGTCAGCTGCTGTACTAATGCTATTTGAAGATGTTTCCCTAATTAGATCTTCAACCAGGTATCAGAAGTCATGTCTAGGCTGATTTATTTTATTGCTTCTGATGAAAGTCTCATGTGTATCGTGTAACTTTTCCTCATTTCCACATTTGTAATCACTCTCATTTACCACACATTATGGGGATATTTGGGTTTCACAGATGTTCTACAAAGTGGGCCAGATTTTCTAATCTGTGTTTTATTTTTGAATAAACTGTCTGAGTGTTGTAAAAAGAGAGTGTCTGTTGGCAGTGAATGGAACTATTTCTTTTGATTTTTTAGTCCACTAACCTCAAGGGGCAGCAAGTAGCATTTTACAATTACTCCCATATTTGTCTGCAATTACGTGAACTTTGGTGCCCTGCTGTAATTTTCTAAACTGTCTTTGCAGCACCACGAAGAGACACTGCATACAGCGATACAGCAATCTGTAAAGTACAGAATGAATTATGTCTCACAGAATAGAGTTTTGTAGGTTTTATTACGGATCCTGCAAGCGTGAAACCAGCTGAGAGAAAAGCTCACAGAGCCGTAAGCACAAACAGAGATTTAAAGTAGACAATGGACTTCTTTCTGGAGGCAGAGTTCACACAAAAGACCCCAGTTCTGATCACAGCAGAGCGGCCATTACCACTACTTCACCCTGACCTTATGTTCTCTCAAAGTATGCTGTCAAAACAATCCTAGTTTGTGCTGGCAGATCAATAGTAGAGCATCCTTTTCGCAGAGGACTTTAGAACTTTTCCAGACAAGAGTTCCATTCACGGAGTTTTTGGATAGAGACTGAATGTGTTTGGATTTGGAGCTGGATCGGTTCACTAGCAGGGAAAGTAAATTTTTTTTTAACAAGACCTTGAACTATCAGAGCAGACAGTAAACCTATTCAGTGCAAAATAATATTGCATAATGGAATTTCCATTTTCCATATTCAATTCATTAAAACATTTTTTCAGGATATGATAAGTTTAAATGGTGATTAATGCAAAGCGGGAATGAAGGAAATTTACTGAGGCTGATTAGACTCTCAGCACTGCACAGCTGCTTACACAATTATCATGCTCTGTTTGCTCTCAAGTAGGCAGAAATAATAATGACTTTTAAGAGTCAGTGTTCAAACATGAATACTTACAGAATATTTTTGTATTGATGTAGTGTATTTAGTTGTAGAAAAGGCATGTATAAAATCACATTGACACATATAGACTCATAGACACAAATTTTGATAAATGTTGGATCTTAAAAATACATCTTTCATTTTCTTTCACCGACATGGTTTTAACTGCCTCGTGAAGAAACTTAAAAGCTTCATGCTGGTGTGTTCAAATGTCTGATTGGTGCATAAAACTTTTGTCCATTGGAAAGAAAATTTTAAAAAAATAATCTTCCCAGCCATAAGCTACATTCTTGTCAAGCTGTGCTACTATTTAAACCAAATAACGCAGTTTTTATTGTTTTGTTTGGAAGCTCCTTCAGTTCTGCTTTTTTTCTTTGTTCCTCTTCCAGCTGACAGCTGCCATTGTATTCCTCAGCTTCGGGATCATCACCTCATTTCTGTGCCTGGTGATCGATGGTGTCTGTATTGTCTTAAACATGGTGAGTTACCCACACTTGCATGTGAACATTGAAACCCTATAGATGGCTGTGCTGGATGATGAAACAACGCAGTAACAGTAGATCCCCAAACAATAACACAGCTCTCTGCTGGTTGACTGTGGTCCACTTTGACAGCCTGTTGGCCAGCAGTGTGTGCCAGCATCACTGTTGGCAGTACTGACACTTTGCACAGTTGTGTCCATGAAAGAGTTACCACAACCTGTAGTCCAGCCTTTATGGCATTTCCCAGCTTTGATTTTTGATTACTAGTTGTGAAAACACATTGTGAGAAAACCACAGAGCTGGTAGTTTGGTCTTGAAGTTTCATCCAAGAGGCTCAATCAGTACATAAGAATTAACGTAAGTCAGGTTGTTAATGGTTTTATGCGTCCAGATGTCTGATGGTGAGGCATCACAGAGAACCTTAAGAAATGGTTTCTGACTAATATTTCTGCAGCAGGATGCGATGAGCCTCACTAAAGAAAACAACTCTACATTCCTGAGTAATAAAACTATGTGCTTTATCTGTGAAGACTTACACTTAATGCAGAAAGTGATAACTGGTACCGTCAGTCATGTGTCTGTGTTCACATCTAAGATAGATGTAAAAGCAACGTGTAAGGTTGTTATCAGTCTGAAGTCAGGTCTTTGTGTATTAATCACATTTGAAATGAAACCTTCTACACTTTAAATTGTAAACATTTCCAGTACTAGGTGGGATTTTGTTGCTGATTTGAGTTGATAACTAGGGCATATTCAGTTGAGTGTCCAAAAAACGCTTTCACCCAAACTAAAATGTGGTTTCAACATCAGCACAAATCTGTTTAATCCATGTGATATTTTGTTAAGTTGTAGGTTTGAAATAGACATTTGTTACTGTTAAGGTATTTTTACAAAAGCAAAATGAGGTCTACAGAAAAAAAGCAGTGTTTCTTCATAAATATAGAGGTATATATCATCCTAAACAACAGCTCTGGCCTGTTGGGACATGGACATTAGACCTCTGGGAGTGTCCTGTGGTGTCTGGAAACCAGGACGTTGGCTGCAGATCTTTTGGGTTCTGTGGGATGAGGGTGGGGCCTCCATGCATCTCATGGGTGGCTGATCAGATTGAAACCAGGAGTGTATGGAGGCCAGCGCCTTGGGCTTGTTGTCATGTTTCTTGTGTAGAAGTGACCCAATTAGTGAAATGGAGATTATCTGAGCAGTTTTTGCTGATACGTGGAGTAAGATCTGTGGTGAGGTGCGTTTTCTTGCCTGGGGGAGGTCACTAGCATCAGGGGAGTGCTGTTGCCATGAAGGGGTTAGTCTTGGTCCAGAACTATGTTTAGATGGGGGGGCTATGTGTCAATCTAACATCTAAATGACTTTCCAGGACCAGAAGTTTCCCAGCAGAGCATTGCATTGTAACAAGATGATCAATTGACCTGCCAGTGGTTTTATTTTTAGGGCAGATTGACGTATAAATGCTGCGCGTTGCCAACAAAAAGCTGCCAGGACATTATAGTGGAAGCAGCTGTATACATGAATACAAAATAGGAAATTGTGATTACTGCTGTAGTCCCAGTATTTGTGCTCAAGATAAACTGAGCCTCATCTAAAAAATGAAAAAATGCAGCAGTAGGGAGTCCAGCAGCCTTCAGTCTGCACAGGTCATGACAGAAACATGATTTATTCAAACGTTATCAGACACACACATTAGTTCATACGCAGTCTCCAATAGTTATAGTTATGACAGGGTAGCCTATTAAAATGCGAACAGATAATCTGTAATATTACATGTACTCTAATGTAAATCAGTATCCTACTCAAACTAAATAAATACTTTGAAAACACTGACAAATAGTCAAATACAGAGGAAAGAAATACAAGACTACACCTTTCATTATTGATCCGTCACATATTCAGACTGTCATAGCTAAAACATCTATACTTATTTTAAGAATCCTGAGTACGCAACAGACCAGAACTACATATTTTATACAGTTACTGATGTGTAATCTGAATGTATTCAACCGCTCTGACTCCTAAACATCTCCATCAACAGCACAACTGTTAGATGAAGTGGGAGCCATGCCCTGAGAGCAATGTATGGGCCTCTTAAAAACAAACTGCAGCTGCTTTGATTTCACAACGTTTCTGTTGCCTGTGTTTGCATGACATCAGATTACGACTTGATCGAGTCAAACAAAGGGGACATATATTGTGCAGTGATCGCCTGTGATTGATTCCATGCATGTCTGGTTCATCTCCAACAAGCCTGCTGTCCACACTCAGGGACTCACTATGAGGTGTTTCCCCACAGAATACGTGAAGGTTTGGGGCTGTTCCACTGTCAAATCATCAAATTCATGAGGGCTCTCTCACAGCATACACAGTTTGTGGAAGTCCACCTTCCTGCAGACTTGAGGGAATTACTCACAGTTCATAATGTTGTAATGTTCAACATGTGGTTAACATGGGAAGCAAAAAAGGGTCAACAAACAAGAATAGAAGGAACAAACAACCCTAATTTTACAAAAAAAATAAATAAATAAATAAATTCTAATATAAGCACACAGATTTATAGTCAGTGTGCATAATCAGTCTGTGTGTAGTTGTTTGAAAAAAATGTAATTTTACAAGTCCCAGTTGTCCAAGACAATCGTACACAGCACGTATTGGCGTCAACAAGGTAATGTGATAGGGGTGTTGCTAAGTGCTGTCATATTTTTTTTTACAGCATCTCAAACCTTTGCAGCCTCACACACTCAGTCACTTTCTGGGTGACATTAGTTAGTACTGAGGTCTCAAGGTAGAGATCAGGTTTGGACTCTTGTGACCTGCACTTTTTGGACTTGCTCTGCCTGCAGCAAATGACTGTATAAAGAAATTCATGACAAAACCAACATATGCAAGCGTAAAAATTACTCTGAGACCTGGCATGCAAAGCAGCCAGAGTTTTTTTCTCACTGGGACTATTTGTACTTACACTCACCTCATTATTTTAAACTTTTGGCCACATTTAATGTTAACATTTTATTGTGTAACTTTATTTACTATGTATGCATATGACAGAAAATGAGGAAAAGCTTAAGACGTCCCCTTGAAAAGATTCGGTTGAGGACATTAGGAAATGTTGCATTAAATTTTTTATGTCAAAATAAACCATTTCAGATGTACCATCTCATTTTTCGTAGGCCCTATAATGAAGATTTATTACAGACATCGTCAATGAAAGGGCACAACACTCCCCACAAAAGAAGAACCATCAGCAGTCACCACATAAAGAGAACATTTCCACCCATGATTTGAGGCTGTTTTCCAAAACTGCATCAGTCCTGTTGAAATCACTGTTGGTGCAAATCAAAGCACACATGCTGCAAGATCCACAATAATGGAAATGTATTCAAGACTTTATTCCTCCTCCCCTGACAGCCATGTTACTGTGGATATCACCAGAGAAACAATTTCCAGTAAAGTGAACCTTATTTTACCAGTTTATCAAAGCCAACAATAGTTTTTTTTTTCAGTAGCCTGAGTGAATTTTGGAAAATTTGTTTTTTTGGCTGTTGTTTACTCTGTTCAAATGTGCCATCCAAATTATTTGTTTTGTTCTATCCAAACAAGAGTGATTTGTGCTGACTTGGAGGAAACGTTTGTGGATGATTTTTCTTCATATTTTAACTTTTGCCAGGACATCCGTCCGCTGAAAGCAGGGAGATGCCAGTATTACAGCAGCGGCAGCAGCTACATTTATGAGAATTTCTACATGTCTGTGAGTAAAGATAGACTGATGTATACTCATGTACATGTTAAAGTTATGTAAAGGTTGGACAGGTCCAGCATCACTTGGATTTATGCAAGAGAAACTAAATTTTCTATGATTTTCTATTTCAACTGCAGTTGCGTTGGATTTGTCTCTGTTATATTTGCTGGTTACGCTTTTCTTTTTTAGGTGTCATGTTGGAACCTGAAGGAGTCCTGCACCATGACGGTACGAAGTGGGACCTGTTACTGCTGCGACCTGTACGACTGTGCCAAGTGAGACAATGCACCACTATCCTGCAATATTGTTAGTGTTAAATGCCATCTCAAATTGATCAAACCAATCGCCATCCTCTGCAAAAATATTCTCATGACCACTTCAGGACCGACTTGACAATAATATATGTTTTTGTCCAACAAATAATTCAAAATAAAACGAGCCGTTGCTTTGTTCTGCAGTGGAGGCTACCTCAGCAACTACTATGAGTTTGCCGGAGTACAAAGCTGTGAGGAAGTCTTTGTTCTGTACGTTGTGATTTGGGTCCTCGCCAGCCTCAACCTCGTGGCCTTCTTCACAGGGATATTGACTACAGCTGTGCTGGGCAGCATCAAGGACTTGGTAAGACATACACAGCAACCTGTTGCGCACTCACCTTGGCAGGTTGTCATTTGTGAACATGGTACATTTGGGCTCAGGTAAAGTCTTCCCCTGGTCAATAATTAAACCAATACCACAGAAATCCCCACCCTGCAAGTTGACAGGATGGGTTCGTTTTGGTTCGTTTGAAACCCCAGAAGTCTGAATCCATCTTTATGCGAATGTTATCGGTACCTTGCAGATTTATGGTGGATTTATTCAGCCATGGCACTGACTGCATGTTTTGCTTGTGATGTGTCATCTGACATTTAAAAAACACCATATGAAAAAAAAACTTTATTGTCACCAAAGGGGGTCTTTAAAACAAGTGACTCTTTTTGCATTACGTCTCTGAGGCCCTGCTGACCCACTCAGAGGCTGCATAAATCTAAAAGTTTTTAGATTTCTTCTAATTTTCTTTAATATTGAAATGGCATACATTTGAGAAAAAAAAAGTCACCTCTGCTGCAAAAAAGAAGCCAAACTTCAATTGGACTGTAAAGCTGCACAAATTGATTTTTGACTCGTAGGATTTAGAAAAGGGCCGAACAAGAGACATTGGCTCATTTTATGTCACCAAAACTAATTCTGTATCTGTTCTCATATGTGTCCCACGACCATGCATCCATTCATGCAGCTTTTCATTCCTCTGCTGTCACAGCAGAATTGATGAGGGATTATGTTTTCACACACTGTCATTACAAGCACAAGCTGTAGGTTGAAAACAGCCAATGTTTTTTGCAGTGTGAGTCCAGACCTGTAGGTCAGTCTATCTAGTAGTTTAATTCAGACAAAAACATCCTACATAGTACTGGGTGGATTGTCAGGACGTTTGTTGAGGACACTCATGTTTCCCTCACTGACTTTTTTCTGTGTAGCTATGATCAGGTCAAAATAATAAATAGTATTTTACCTAAGACTTCAGTTAACTGCCAGCGATCCACCACTGCCCTCAGTTTCCATCAGCTTTCTCAAGACACTGTGAACATGGTTAACACTAGATCAGGTAAACATCATCATGCTGACATTGTCATTGTGAGAATGTTAGCATGACATTAGCTAACTCAGTGCCATGGTCAAGTACAGTCTCTCAGCTGCTAGTAAGGATATGGACTCCTTGTCTTGTTACCACTTTGTCTTCTGCTCTCACACTTGTGTAAGTTGCAGTTGTACAAAGACTAAAAATTAACACTTACTGAAACAATAAAAAAAACAAAAAAAGGTTCCCACACAAATTTTCTAAATGCTTGCTGCCCTCACTAGTTTGCATTTTGACATTCAGTCCCTAAATTCTGGACCTACAAATTCCAGAGATATGACCAAACAGTTTCAGCAAAGACCAAAAACCGCACCACAGGAAAGGTTTAAAACTTGATTTATTTCACATAAATATTCTAAAATGAAGGAAAGATGTCTCACTTGTAGCAATGCGGCAATCCATCAAAAAACTGAGAAGAGAGGGGAAAACAGTTTGCTAGAGAGGGTGAGACAAGGGAAAAGTCCAAGGCTTTACCGAAACGTTGGTTGCTTCCTCACAATCTGTTGACTGTTAAACATCACTTGATGGCCGTCCTCTCTAAGCCATCAACATGAACTAGGCTGACAACACACTTTGACTTTTGGAAGCCCAAAAGACTGCAGCATCTAGAGTGGACCGTGCTCTGCCAAAACAGTAGAACCTGATAGCTTCCCACCATCATGAAGCCGGACTTGTCCTGTTCTGATGTCGTGCCATTAACATTATCACATGTTGTACTCTGCACAGATAAACGAATAAGAAAGCAGCAGGGAAGAACAGGGACATAAGCCCCAGAGTGCAAAATATTTAGTCCATGTGTTGTCCATAATTTTCTAAAATTGAGACACAAGATGGGTTTCTTTGTACACAGATTCTATCTTGGCTCAGGTTATGCTTGGAACTGAGTCTACAGAACTGTCATGATCAGCTGATGATCGTAAAGTAGTGGATCCAGGAGAAGCCTGGTGTTCATTACAAAGATTTCAGAGTTGACTACACAGCAACAAAACCCTCAGGACAAATAATAAAGGATATGAAACTGATATCCAGGCCGTAACTTTAATCTCCCACATGGTAAGCAACGTTTTTTATTGTGTTTTGTGGTTCTTACAAACTTTGAGGGGTAAAGTAGAAGTTGTTAGGATATGAAAACATTTACATCTACCTTTCCTCACAGCGGCCTCACAGTCCACCAGGTTTATTTACATTATGGAGTTGCTGTACTGTAAAGTTTGTCAGCCACAAGCAAGGCACCCCACACATTTTGCTGCTGGCTGGCATGAACACAACAGTCTTCATGCACACCCAGCATCTGAGGAACAGGATTCAGTGGATTACTTGTATTTTTTGATGGCAATGTCACCACAACAAAAGGAGAATCCTTTGTGTTAACAAGTTGTGCGGCTGTTATGCCTAACTTTACCATTAGCTTCGATCGTACGGGCACAGGTCAGAGTTCTGTTGGAACTGTAACCCTTCGGGACATTCAAAGATGGTGGAAACAATAGGAGTGAATTAAGACCAATAAACAGTGACTTGATGGATTACTGTGTTTTCTTGGTGCCTGTTGTGCTCGGATCTTTTTACGGATCTTTACGTATAAAATAATGAGTGAAATGCAGCCCATTAATGGTAACCTGTGGTCACTTCCGAACTACTTCCAAGTTTCTGCACCACTAAACTACAGATTTTACAACCGTAATGTTATCTGAAAGTCCTGGTTTCACACACTCATCCACACAAGCTACAGACACTATAACAGTCTGTTTGGAATAGGACTAAAACCAGATGTTATAGGGTCATTCTCACAATGTGAAACTTCATTCATTTGCTAAAAAGTGGTACAACGTCGTACACATCCCATAACAGAAACTCAACTTTATTTATATATACCATAGTAAAAAAGAACGTCTAAACCCTGTTCTGGTTGCATATACGGTTTTATTTTTGTGATTGAGTTCTAGGCCTAACACTGTGTGTTTAAGAAGCCTGATCTCTGAACAACACAACTCGACTCTGTGGTGAAACAGAGGCAAGCTGAATGTAATCCAAGCTTGGTTTTACACAGATGTTGTCATGTTGGGTAATATTTTAAAACACCAAATGACACATAATATGTTTTCTTAACCTCAAGTGGGTCTTACATTCTTTGGTTGTATTCTTGTTTCTTTTTATAGGTTGGCATCATCAAAGCCAGTGCCCCATGTGGAGACTTGTGTGCTGTCAAGTGTAAGAAATACTAAATAGCTACCAGAGAATAGGAGAGGTCAGGCTTGGTTACACACTGTTTGTTGGGAGTCTGCGACCCAGAGATAGGTTCTGATTTGTTACATAGTTCTAGTAAATGTGGCGTTTCCTGGACAGCATACCAACAATCAACCAGATGACATGAAGACCACATACTCTATTTGAGGGAAAGAAAATTAGTCTGGTCTACTTGAGATGAGAGTGTAAATGTTTGTCTCACATGCAGTGGTTAGATGGCTGGAAAACAGTCACTGCAAAATCAGAAACACGACACTGGTAATACCGAAAACTGATTCATTCAAGTCCACATCAGTCCAGATGCTGTTGTGTTGCAATCAATCTGGCGTGTAAAAGCTTGTCTCTTGTGTCTCTTGGTCACAGCGTGTTTTTATGGTCTCTTAAAAAGAATAAATTATTAAGGTCAGTATCAGTATTTTGAAGTCTGTGTTGCTTTAAATCAATTTTTGATCATGTGCTTTCCGACTCTCTTGTTATATTAACACCAGAGTTGCAGTAAAAACATCAACAACAGGATGCCAAGTTGAGAGTGGGCCATGACAGCTAACAAAAGCTGAAAAACCCTGACAGTTGTATTAGCAGGGTTATCGGGGCTGTCTCTGCTTGTTTATTGACCAGTCCATCAGTGAGGCTTATCAAAAACAATCCTTCACTGCTCGTCTTGTGCAGCTTTCACTTGTAAAACAATCAGAGACACGTCACCCATCAAACTGTCCTGAAAGCTTAGATAAACGTTTTTATAAAAACCATCATGCTGCAAATTCAGCATATTACTGTGGTTTTTCATTTGAGAGGAGATTATCGTGACTATAGTGGAGCTCTAAGTAGTGCCACAAAAAATGTGGTTTCCACCTTCTTCGACGTGCTATGTTTGATGCCAGTTTGGAGTTTAAAAAAAAAAAAAAAAACAAGACAGTATCTTGTAATACATATTGCAAATGTAATCATTAGATTGGATTGTTGAGGTGTGTCTTTACACAAAGACCAAGATCCCTAATTGCAGCTCCTTCCAACTAAAATCTATAATTAATCTTAGTGTGTAGCAAAAAACAGCAAGAACGAACAAGAACTTTGTTTTTATCAAATTTGAAAAGTAAATGTGCAAAAGAATCCACTCTTTCCTTCTGCATAATGTGAAGGTTTTCTTTTATTTTAAAAGTAAATTGAATATATTCTGGGTTTGGACTGTTGAACTGACTAAACAACAATCAGAAGACATTATCTTGGTCTCTTGGACACATTTTTTTTTTTTTACTATTTTTCTTTCATTTAATACAACAAGCAAATATGAAACCTTAATGATGAATGATAAAAAAAATAATAATATTTGCAACGTCAGTTCAGTACTTTTCTAGTCTAGCTGAGAAATGACCCTGGTAGGCACTAACCTGATATGGAATTCAGCTCCTCCAGCACAGTGAAGCTCACCTCACATGGTGCTGTGTCCTGACCTCAACTCACACTAAAATGCGTGGCCTGTCCTCAATCTCCACTGAAAACTGCTTCCACACACTCAGCCCTGTTTTCTTAGGACACTAAAGATTTTGTGGTCTGTGGGGCGTTCATTGAGCTTTGTGCTGCCAGACATCGAGGTGATCTGGCCTGGTGGTGCTAAACTCTGCAGGAGTAAACATGACAGCCAGCTGACCACAAACAGTGACTATAAAAAGTTATCACCCCCTTTGAACGTTCTTCTCTTTCATTCCTTTTCAACATTGACTCATAGGCAATACAATTAGTTTTTTTGTTTAGAAGTCACAACAACAGACTCATGTCAAAGTAAAAACAGGTTTCTACAAAGTAATGTCAATTAATTAAAAACATAAATTGAAAAATAAGTGACTTCCTTAGTATTCATCCCCATCAAAACAGTGTTTAGTAGATGCGCTTTTAACTGCAATTACAGCATTGAGCCTGTGTGGATAGGTTTTAATCAGCCTTGCACATCTGGACACTGCAATTTTACCCCATTCTTTTTTGCACAAGCTTTGTCATGTTGCACAGGGATCATGAGTGAACGGCTCTTTTCAAGTCCAGCCACAAATTCTCAGTTGGATTGAGGTCCAGGCTCTGACTTGACCAATAAAGTTCAATTAGTTTTCTTTAAACTGTGTAGCTTGGGCTGTGTGCTTTAGCTATTTGTCTCGCTGGAAAACAAATCCTATCCCAGGTTGCAGTTTTCTTGTAGATTGCATCGGGTTGATCTCCAGGATTTCCCTGTACTTTGCTGCGTTTTTGTTACCCTCTACCTTTAGAACCATCCCAGGGCCTGCTGCTGAGAAGCACCCCCACGTAATAATGCTGCCACCACCATGCTTCACAAAAACATGGTGTATTTGTGATGCTGTGCAGTGTTTGGTGTACGCTAAACAGAGACTAGTCTGATGGCAAAAAAGCTAAATTCTGGTCTCATCATACCAAAGAACTTTCTTCCAGTTGACTCCTGAGATTTACACTTGCCTTCTGGTAAACTCTGATCAAGATCAAATAGCTTTTTTTTTTTCTCAACAGCGGCTTTCTCTTTGCCACTCTCCCATACCACTTTGGTGAAGAACACAGTCAACTGTAGTAAGCACAGCCTGTCCCATCTCAGCAGCTGAAGCTTGTAACCCCATCAGAGGAGTCATAGGTGTCTTGGTGGCCTCCCCCACTAGTCTAGTCAAGTTTTTGAGGATGGCCTTCTCCAGGCAGATTTACACATGTGCCGTACTTCTTTCATTTCTTAATGATGGATTTAACTGTACTCCAAGGGATATTCAGGAACTGTTTCTCATCGTTCTCTGAGTAATCTTTACATCAGTTGGTGGTCTGTGTTTACACTGTGGGATGTTTGTTTTTGCAGAATTTTCCCTGATGTTTTAAAATTTAATATAATTCAGTTCTTAAATCATGGATCTGTCAGTTTCTCTCTGACATTCCACAGTCCACGTAGGAGTGGTAAATTATGTGCTGTCCATCCCATACGTGCTCCATGCTGTACTGGTTGTGTAAATGGTTTCACATTTATTGCTTTGCTTATTTTTAGATTGTAGATTACCCAAAATACAGAGGAACTCACAGTGCATTAAATTTATAGGTTTGGAGCCTCCAGCATGATTTGGCTTTGACGTCAAGCAGACTTGCAGACAGGCCACCCAAAGAGAGAACAAAACAACACATTGACTCACCAAAGGTTTTACAATGAAGGATGTGCGAATCACTAATCGCATGTAGCATGTGGCAAGTGCACCATATAACAGACAAAAAGAAAGAGAGACAGAAAAATCTCTAAACCAACGCACTTCTTATTGTCTTCATGTCTTTATTTTATTGATATGTTCTAGCTGGACTGATTACAAAGCTGCTCTCTTCAGGGCATTGTGCAAATGAGATGAGGAAGGTAGGCCTTAATATACATTTTCAGTTAATCAAATAGGCACAAGCGCAAATGTCTTCTGTATCAGTCAGACAAGAGCTGCACGAACAATACTGGACCCCAACTCCAGAAACGTTCTCGTCCACTGATTATACATGTGAAGAGACATCTCTCAAATTCACACCTCCTTTCAAAACACCATCAACAAAAAAGGAGAAAAGCATACAGTATATGCAAAGAATTCAACAAAGCCTCAAAGTCAGTAATTGAAAGAACACCAAACCTCAGTATTAAAGAACAATGATTTATAATAGTTTATGCAAATTCTAAAAAGAAAATGATGAAATCAGCAACACAACCATCACAAAAACATCCAACATGCCTTTTCATAATCTCAATGCCCTGAATCTTTAAGAGTAGAGGGTTATCTCTTTATAGCAGTAGGCCATGGGGTAGTCTTCATTATTGACAGAGATTAAATATATTGTGTTCAGCAAAACAGTCGTAACTTTCTTTTAGTCCAACACACGTAAAAGCACGTGCAAGGAAACAGCAGGCAAAAGACAACAAACTCAGAGTTATAGTTGATAAATAGAAAGTCCTGCTCTGAAGTGTCCTCTTAAAACAATTACATGTAGCACATTTGAAAGTCCCCCAAAACTTTGTTCATCCATTTTCTTTGTTTGGAAACTGATAGGACCTTCTTACAAGCATCTTCTTCAGGGATTTCCGATCACTATGCAAGACTTTCCAGTTGGATTTAATGATGTTGATTTTTTGTGTGTTACAAATTACAGTCTACAGCTATTTTCAGCAGCGGTTTGTTGGATTGCCAGAAAACAGGTCTTAGCAATTGCAGCCTCAATTAATGCCCCATTAACAAAATCTGGATTTTATTTTTTGGAGCGTGCTCTTTAAAGTCTGTCTCATCAGCACAAATGTGTCCAAGAACTAGAGTTGTCCAAAAACAATGCTGTTTTTTAATCCCTTTTGGATAATAATTGTCAGCCCTCAATGAAGTTCTCCTGCCATTTTGCAGTGTGTTACAGTGAGAAAAAGATCGTTCTCATCTGTACTGAGGGCCGGATCCAGGAATTTGCTAAATGTTTTGGAACAATCTGTTACTAACTTTAGATTTGGGCTAATGTAGTTGTAGAACTGTAATAGCTCACAATCAGTATCTGACCAAAATCGAAGAATGTTGTTGATGTAGTGGGTCCAAAACAAGATTTTATCAGAAAAAGCTGTGTGACTGATTGTAGATATGCTTTCTGTGACCCAAGGGGACTTTTGCGTATTTGGGTGGAAAGCAGGCACCTACTTCTGTAGCCTACGGTGCCTACAGAGGGAGTCCTGGAAAAGAATCAAAGTGATGTGATGAGTTCATTCTATGAGAGAGAGGAGAAAGTGGTACGTTGAAGTGTGAGTGGTTCATAACAGATAATGTTGTAGGACTAGAAGGCCTTCATGGTGGTCTGTGTTGGTGTATAAAGAGCCCCTGTGTAGAGTCACCATATAACAGTCTGGAAATGTCTCCTAATGCCAATAAGTTTGCGCAGTACACCTGCAGTGTCTTTAAGAGGTTTCATTAAACAGTCCACAAGCTGAGAACAGGGCTCAGTCAGAGATTCTGGTTCTGCCCCCAGGATGTTCCAGGCCCTTATGAATCTTGGGTAACATGGAAAAAAGCATGCAGTATGAGAATTTTCATTCATTAAGATGGCAAATTCAGTTTCCAAGATCCAATTTTGGTCTCACGCTTAGAAAAGCATTTCCTCCATTTCTTTTTTTTCATCTTGTCTGTCATATCTGCGTCTAGTTGTTCATAATAAATGTTCTCTAGTTGTCTCTGAGCCATATAAATGTAAGAACTTTTGTCCGTGACCACAACTGCTCTGCTGTTGTCAGCACATTTTGCAATAATTTGTAGAGTATCTTCACCTGGACCTGTATATTCTAATAACACCTTCCTCACTGTTGGGTATTTGTGGAGCAACAGGCCAGCCTTGTGATTAGTAGCAGTCATGTGTTATAGAGACAAGTTTTAACTCTAGATAGTTTTTGGTTTGGTTGCTCTTTGGTGTTTAGGGAAAAAAAGTCAGTATACTGACTATTGGGAAAAAGATAGAAAAAATCTATGTGAACCAAGGTTCTCCTTAGATTTAAATTTTTATTTATTTATTTATTTATTTTTATTACAACTGACATTTCCCAGCTGGACTAAAAACACGCTGCTGCACCTCCTACATACTGTATGTATACTACACTGTATACATGGAGATCAATTAGACTCATGTATTTTACTAACAACCAAAATTAAATGATTATAAAATAATATTATGGTTGTTAGACGGTTGTGTTCTTCTGAGTAGCATCTTTTCCTTCTTGATCGTTCAGGCTCAGTGTGCATGCTTCAATTAACTCTGGAGATAGTGGAGGTCATGAGTCTGCAGTGTTTTAAATTTTGAAGTGACTGACAGATTTAGAATGTAAGCATGTTAACTTGTGATGATGGTCAGTGGTGCTGACTTTCCATGATGAGGGCCAAAGCACTGTGTGTTCCTGGCTTAAATCTTATTATCAGATCATCCTAATCATCCATATTTTATATTTAGAGCCTCAATGTGACACATCTTCATTTTAAGCATAATATGTGTATACATAAACACCAGATTGTTACAGAGTTCTTCTGTGATTCCCAACAGATCACTAAAACTCTCTCTTTGTTTCTGTCTCTTTGCATTTAAAATAATATTGCGTGCATGTGTGTGTTTGTGTTTCTCTTTCTTTGTGTCAGAGGTGTAGCAGCCCTGTGGCCGATCCCTCTCAGAGCACAGCATCTTCCCCTACAGCTCCTCTGCTGACGGACGCCAACACTCACACAGCACACCAGCTCCACCCAGTCAGTGTGCAGTCGACACAAACACACACACACACACACACACACGCACACACACCAGCACAAGATACAGTTACAAACACAAGTCTAGTATTTCCTCTCTGTTGATTTATTTCTGTTTCATCTCCATTAGTTAAAAAGTCTTGACAGCACAGAGGTTCAAATTTGGCTCCATCTCAGACAGTTTGTAAGGGTATGAACCTCTCTCACCTTCCACTCCTTAGATTTTTGACGTGTTTTCGAGGATGTTATCATGAAGCAGAAAGTTGCCATGGAGTCCAGTGTTACCTTGTTTCTAATTTTGGCACCACTGAAAGTAAAAAGTTTTTTGTTTTGCCCTTTATCTAGAAAATACACATTTCAAGTCTATCTTAAAGTGTGTAACATATACTGCGACCACTAGTTCTAATGTGAACATGATCAGAACTTAACCTTTACCTACTTCATTCACACTGAGGTACAGAATAATGTCTCACGGTCGGAAACTAAAAACAAGTATGCTTCCCAGATAACTTGATTTACATGATTTGCGGTTCTGATTCCTCCAAATCCTGATCTTGTTTGTCCTCTTTTCACCTTTTAAACACAACATATCGGTGGCACCTAGATTGTAGATTTTTATTTTTTATGACACACCTCATTCTAATAGAATATTTCAGCCGTATTTATGGACATAAATCAGTGAAAAACGACACCTGAAACAGTGATAATGATAACGCAGACCACATACATTTAGCTCGACAAGTAGTTAAATAAATCACAAGTGTTCCAAAATATCAACTGTCAGCACAGATTAAAAGCACAGAGCCCCCCTTGCCCAGCTAAGAAAACATAAAATCGTAACTCTAGTATGAAATCCTGCTGTTTGACCATAAGTGGAGGGCACAGATGCACTAATTCTGTTCATCATCTTGTAACATTAGTGTCAAAATCCTGCTCTTTTCTCAAGATGAGTGCTTGAAAGTTTGTGTACACTTTTTAGTATTTTAGTAATTTTGTATATTTCTGCATAAATGTGACCTAAAGATTCTCAAACAAGCCCTAAAAATAGATTTTAAAAAACACACACACACACACAGCTAAACATCCATCCATTATCGAAACACCGCTTAATCCTCACTAGGTTCGCGGGGGGGCTGGAGTCTATCCCAGCCGACTTAGGGTGAAGGCAGGGGACACCCTGGACAGGTCACCAGTCTATCACAGGGCTACACTTAGAGACAGACAACCAAGCACACTCACATTCACACCTACAGACAATTTAGAATCACCAATTAACCTCAACATGTTTTTGGACTGTGTGGGAGGAAGCCAGAGAACCCGGAGAGAACCCACGCTGCACGGGGAGAACATGCAAACTCCATGCAGAAAGATTCCGGTGCCCCCACCGGGATGCAAACCGGCAACCTTCTTGCTGCGAGGCAACAGTGCTACCAACTGCGCCACCTTGCAGCCCATAGCTAAATATGTTTGATAAAAATATTATACTTTGTCATTTATTCAGAGAGGAAAATTATCCAATATTGTGTTTTCTGTGAGGCAAAAGTATGTGAAGCTTTGCTTTTACTACCTGTGCAGCCCCCTGTTCCAATAATAACTGCAAATAAATAAACTGTTGATTGGTTTTGCACATTAACTTGGAGGAATTTTAATCCATTATTTCCCATTTAAACCAAAATGTATACATATAATTTGGTCTCGTCTGTCTACAATGGGCCTTCAGACTAGCATTGTTAGGACTAGTAGTTGTTTGGCCCCAAATGCAGTTCTGTGATTCAGGTGCTCAGTTTAAAAAGTTTTGCCACCTATGGTTTTAGTAATGGAGAGAGAAGCCAAGAGAGCAAACTCAAAGGTGAGGAGGCTGTTGATGGTGAGTTACTGGCGTGGGACTCTTGAAGGGTCTCGATGGCCGGTGGCTTAGTGGTTGCCTGACTGACCATTCTGCCTGGATCAAGCTGAGTTTGGCCAGAGATACTACCACGAGAGCAGGAGGAACAATCTGGCGAGGTGTGGAGTGACAAACTGGGTTGAAGTGTTACAGCAGGTGATTAGTGGATGATTTTCAGGTGTGTCTGGTGATTCCCTCTAAGAGTAACAGGTGACTACACCCAGACACAGTCACATGGAACAGACAAACAGGAGACCAAGGGGACAAGGAGAAAACACAAGGGACACAAATAATGGCTCTATGACCTCCTTTGTTTCTGGTGGAGAGCAGTGGCTTTATTCTTGCAACCCCGCTGTGCGCACCATTCGTATTCAGGGTTCTCCTGATGGTTGACTCAAGAACATTAGCTTCTAGCTCTTGGAGTGATCTTTGATTGTCAACCAAACTCTCTGACAAAAGTCTTTACAAGTGGGTTTGTAGTCTTTTCCAGCCAGATAGGTCCCCTTTGTTTGTGCCATGACCCACTTCTACAACCATGTGTTGAGAAGATAAGAGAGATCCAGATTCCTGAGACAAAACAGATGCCCACTAACACCTGACAGTAATCTTTTTGACTGAAAACACCTGACTCCTATTTCAACTTTCATGCTTTTGCTGACGGTTCACATACTTTTGCTCCTCACTGTTCTCTGTCATGCCAAGGTGGTCTCTCCAACCTAAATATTCGACATGTAAGAGGCAGCTGACGTAACTCTTTGAAACACATCACTTGCCATGGCCTCTTTGACTGCTTGATTTCTACAGCAGAGATTTCCAACAGACATTACTGGATCCTGTTCACATGGTATATGGATGCAGTCCTGGAATCCTTCCAAAGGGAATCTCTTCACGTCCTCATTCACTTGGGTGATTGGTTTGTGCTGATTCGATGGAGGAGTGCCAGGTCCAGCAGCACTTTGAACATCTAGGCCTGTGCCTCAACAGGAGGAAGAGCAGGATCCAGCCCAATTTCTGGGCCTTTGCTGTTAGATGCCAGGCTGGGAAACCTTTTCCAAACTCCTGTGAGACAGACCACCCTCAAGGCTAGCTTGTACCATTTCCGGGGCATATTGACATCAAAGCAGTGACTCGGCCTGTTGGGTTTGAGGGCAACCACAGTTCACATGATTCCACTGGCTCTTCTGAACATGTGCCCTGTATTGCATTCGACTTTGCCCACAGAAAGATCTCCTCTGGACAGGGTAACATAATTGGCAGTCACATTTGTGTCCGTTCAGGTCCTCGAAAGTGTATCTTCATTGAACACAGGATTACAGACCAGCTGCTTGTCTGCTACAAACCAAATACTGCTCTCTAAGACAAAGCTCTCCCTTTGGATTGTGGGCAAGGAAGCATCCAAGGGTGTGTGCATGATTTCACATTTTGCATTTTCCTACTACCTCATGGGCCTTAAGGAAAGGTGCATCTCTATCAGAGATTTGCACAGCAGCCTTTTGGTTGTCCCTGTCAACATCTGTAAGGTTTTAATGCATGAATGCAGTGTCTGGCAGTTCATTTGGTGACTGCATGCTGGCCTTAATGCAGCAGGACATGGCTTAACACTCACCATGCCTTCTGGACCATGGCTCTAGCAGCTCAGATGGCATAAAGTGAGACTTTTTCAAAGCTAGCCTGGCATCTTGGTAGGTGTGGCTTTCCCCCATTTACAGTGGTCCCTATGGTGGAGCCAGCTTAGCCTTGGTGGTGTCTTGCACCTAGGCTAGTAAGTGTGTGCATTGTGTATATTTGTGAATAGTTCTCTCATTTTAGCACAGACGCATGTTTCACTCAAGGTTAACCAAAGAATCCACACACATGTTGTATAGCCTCAGTGGCCAATAAGACATGGCCTCTGCACTCTTGTCTTAAAGAGTGTCTACATCAGCTGCCCTCTGATGTTGTCATATTTATGCAAAAAAAACAATGGACATTCTAAACTGTTCCCAAACTTTTAAGCAACCTGTAAAGTAGCCACATAATGAACGTTTGTGGTGTCATTAAGCTGTATTTGTTACTTACAGTCACCACAAGAGATGGAAAATCAACCAGAACTGAATCTGAAGGGTCACAACTAATGTTTCATGAAGATGGAAATTCGCATATTGTTGTTTTTTCAATCTTAAGGTCACACATATTTAGCAGTGAAACAATTATTCAAAGCAATTTTTAAAAAATGTTTTTTGTTTAAATCTCCACACCATCCTTTCAAGAAAAAATGTAATTTTACCACAAGCAGAAGTTGTAGAAAAAGAATGATGAAGTTTCAGCTCTTTCCCACCCAATTTAAATCAGTTATTGGAAATTTCTGTTTGATCTTTGAAATAAACCTGTGCTTACTAGCAGGATGACATCAGAACAATAAACTAGCTTTTAGAATCCTTTACAAGGCTGCGGCATTTTGATGCCAGTGAAAGCTTGTTAAAACCCTATAAGTGCATTTTTTAAAAATCAAACTACTAAAAATGTGCCAAGGAAATTCTACAACGCTCATGTTTTTTTGATTTTTTTTGAGCATTGACAGTTTTAACTTTTTATAACGACATAATATTGGACGTTACCGTGAGATTACTCTTTACAATTGTAATGGAATAAATGAAATTACAGTGTTTATTACATGCAGAGAACATGTAGGAAATCTGTGGTCAATGTCTTTCTTTGTTTCTTTCCTCTCTTTGCTTTGTCCTGTCCTTCTTATCCAGGGAGCAACAGTGTTTTTCCCTCCGGCAGAAAAGACAGCAGCCACACAGAGTTTTCCTTCATCACTGACTCCTCACATGGAGACCAACCCGCCTCCCTTTGTCCCGCTGACCAGCCTGCAGCCTTACAGAGTCCACGGCCTCCCCGCCTAAGCTCCACCAGCGCTCCTTGACCAGCAGCTTTGTACAAAAAGAAAGATCAAAAATACCAAAAAAACAGAAAGGGATGCAGATGTGTAATTATTACTGTTGTTTTTAAAGTTGCAAAAAAAAAGATGTGCTGGTCTGAATATTATGCAGAATCTTAAAATCCATAAGTAGATGTGGGGATGTTTCATGGAAAATGTTTCCTGCTCCTTTCGATTGTATGCAAATATTCTAGCACTCGACTGTACTTTGCTCAAAAACATGAAGGTCTTAAGTGTAAAATGTCTGTAAATGTAATGTATTGTAAATGCTTTTCATGACTTCATGTGTACAGGAGGGCACATAGACTGTAGACTTTCACAAACATCAGTAAAACCACGTACGAGTTCAAATTTCATGTGAGGAACAACTGGAATGTAGCTCATCAACTCACACAAATGTTTGCAATAACTATTAAGTGTGTGTGAGATTTCACAGGTTTGTTTATATAATCTGTGTTAAAGCTTGCTTTATGTCCTACAAAGCCCCACAAACATGATTTACATATATGTAATGTTTATGTCACTAACTGATGTTTCATAGGATATATTTTACATGTTGAACTTTCTATAATGTGTCGGGTTTAAGTCCATATCAACCGTAGTTCACAGTTATCATTGTAGACAACAGTATGAAAGTGGTGACTCTGATGGTTCAGTCAACAAATTTCTAAACAAGCACTTAACTGGAATGAGGACGATGGATAAAACATCAGTGACAAACCTTTTTAGACATTAAATGGAATGAATTAAAGGAGTCATTGATTGAACCAGATGGCTTCTGGAGTCTGGATTCTTTAAGGCCTTAGCACTAATACAAATGTGTTCAAAGTGGAACATAACCATCATTTAAAAAACGATCTCTGTGCACAAGAGGATGCAAAAACAACTACAAAAGCTGTATTAAGCTTGCCAGGTCAGTGTACATTAACAATACATCAAATATCAAAGAAGAACATTCTGTTGTTTCTGCAGACTGTAAACTGTAAGGGCAGGCAGGATTTTGTATGCCAGCAGTGCCAAGTTAAGCTGTAAACTTAACAAAACGAAAAGAAACTAACTGTTGAAACCAGAAGTTTGCATACACTATAAAAAGACACATAACCTGTTTTTTCTATCTGACATTAAATGAAACTAAACTTTTCCTGTTTTAGGTCAGTTAGGATTGCCAAAATCATTTCTATTTGCTCAACACCAGAATAATGAGAGAGATATATATATATTTTTTTACTACTTTCTTCAATGGTCCACAATTTCCTCCGATACAGATTTAAAAGATACAACATACTGCAGGCATAGGTAGTGTTACTAACTGTTGTACAGGTTAACAGGTGGAGAGCGAGGAACAAGGCAGGAAGCTAGAGTTTCATGTATAGGTTTAGGAGGCTAGAAAGCAATGACAGAGCAATAACAATGTAGTAAATAGCAGGTAAAAAAAATAAATACTATAGAATGGAGAGCAGGAGAACAGGGCATTTGGTGCTAAACGCATTACCTGAGAGAAGTGAGGTGTGACTATTATTGCACACTTAGAATCTGTCACTTCATGGCGAACTGCAGCTCAGCTTCATGACTACACACAAAAATAAACATTAGACTTTTGATTAACCACATTTCTAAGATACTCTATTCATCAGCTAGCTCACGTTTCCACTATACGTTGATGCAGTCTTTGGGCAACACATGCACCTTCATTCTTAGTTATGTAAACCAATACGTATCAAAGCACTTTCATGCAGCTCTGATTTTGATGGAAGGAAACAGTTTGATTGTACATCTATTAAAGCTGTTTTTAGTCTTACGTGAAATAAAAGATTCGCGTCAGTTTACTTTTAATGCAGCACGGGTCACTTGATGTTAAGAGGTACACAGCAGTACGTGGCAAAGCCTGAGGAGTGTGAGATGGGTCTGGCAACAAGATGTGGGGAAAACAAGAGGGACTGACAATACGCCAGCTCGGTGGGGATTACAGGGTATGTTTCCTCTGTAAAACACACTTTGGAAAAATAGACTAGCGCTGACAAATATGCTTAGCAACACACAAACATGAAAACACATATGAATCAGGAAGCTGTATGTATGTTTGGTAAGATAGGAGACAATTACACAGCTGATTACATGTTTCATGCCCTTAAATGATGCTTTTGAACATACATTTCTTTGCGCTAAACCCAAAGTGTACTTTATGATAGGAACGTGATCAGGTTTGCAGATGTATTTAAAATGTAACCTGATGAGGGCACTGGATGAAAATTTGGGAGATCTTTCTGAGGGGACCATGAGTGTCTGTGCCAGATTTTTGGGAAATCCATCCAGTAGCTGTTCAAACGTCTAAATCAAAACCACAGATATCTGCTTGGCCCTGAAAGGAAAAGTCATGGGACCGCTAAAAGCAGCGGGAGTCATTCTTTCTGGATGACGAACATGTGCACAAAAATTGACAATAGTTGTGTCACATTCTGTCAAAGTCCTGTTTTCTTTTCATTCATCGGCTCCCAATTGTCTTTCTCCTGCCAGTGTAGTGCTCTGCAGTGATCTTTGTGTTCCTGCCAACAGCGTCACCTGATCTCACCACCGACCTGCACACTCACTGTAGCTGCTAACGTTTCCACATTATCCCCTCTAGTACAAACACCAGCACCCCTCCACGGGTTTCAGATCATCTTTGTGCTATGAATCTCAACATGCCAGTAATGTCCTTTTTTTTTGACCTGTTTGATTCCGACTCTGCCTGAACCACAGTTGCTTTTTGTCTGTTCTGTTTGCTTCCCCAGCTGGCAAAGAACGTTCCCACAACATTGGCCACCATTATTTCACCATTAAGTTCCAAAGTCATTCAAGGCCTCGATATTGTCCTTGAAAACAATTTTTTAATGCTGCTTTGAGAACGTTCTTGTTTTGTAATCCAGTTATCTGTCGTAGCCAAATGCTAACCTTATAGGAACACTATTTTAAAAAACAAATATCGCTAAAAAGTTATTTGAATGTAAGATTAAAACATTATTTCACCATTAAGTTCCAATAATGTTTTGGTCTGCAATGTTCTGAGGATGTTTTGGGGGAACACATTATATCACACTCTTCTTTAAAAGGTTCACACAATGCTCCATGATAACAGAGTAAGGAAGTTCTCAATGCAACATACGTTTTAAGAACATTATTATCAAGCATTTTCAAAATGTCTTTAGAGAATATTATCCTACCTTAAAGAAGAACATTCTGGAAACTTCCCATTGAAATAATTACCAGAACTCTGCCGAATGTTCTCAGAATGTTTTAAGCCCATCTCCAAAAACATTCCTCTGAGGTTAAAAGTGAACACAGACTTGAACGTTTGACCATTCAGAGGATGTTTGGAGGATGCTATCAGATTGTGTCCCATAATAACAAAAGAATAGCGTTCTCAAAGCAACATTACAAAAGTGTTTTCCAAATGTTATCGACATATCGGCTTTAGATGACAGAACTTCCTTTATAAAATGTTCCACTGATGTGATATATTAGCAAAGGTGGAACACGCAGCCTGAAGTTCTTATCTCAATCCTATAAAACCTTCCTACAATGTAACATAAAACCAAATCAACGTTTGCAAAATGATTTAAGACTGTTACAGCTTAACAATCCGGCAACATTGTCACTAAACATTTTTAAAAACTCTTTAAAGAAAGTTAGATTGCCTTTAAGAAGAACTTTCGGGGAACTTTAAAAAAATAAATAAATAAAAAAAGTCCTGCTGAAAACATTACTAGAACTAGAACATTTTTAGAATGAAGGAATCTTACTGGGTCTGCTGTGACTGAACACTTCCTGAAACCAATGAAGAGCCTTTTTGGCCAACTGTGTCCAAAGTGTTGATTTTTAATCTTATATCTTATGACAGAAACAAGGCATATATTTCATGGCCAAAGCAGTGAATTCATCGGGATACTGACATTGTCACAGTTACCTTTGAAAATATCTGTAAAGAACATAAATAATTCTTCACTTTCCCAAAATGGAAATTAAAGTAAGTGACTTGAAAAACTTAGTGATGATAATTTAAGAGGATAGGGGATTGGGATTTATACACTGCACGGTTCTGGATGCAGTATCACATGGCTGTTACCAAATAAGGTCATATAGTGTTAATAAAACCACAACATTACTGATTAGAATCTCTAAATCTCAAGTATTTGATGATCCCATAATGGAACCAAGCAAACAACAAAATGAGTAAAACAACAAAGCCACAAGATTTAACCCTTCGTACTAACAGATTTGGGTAGGTCAAATTCCAACACAGAAATCAAGCGATATTAGTTGGGGAAGAGCCAGACTGATGCTTACATGCTTGGGAAAAGTTTCTCCCCACAAGTAGTCGAGCGACTCTGTGGACAGACAAAGCACTCTGAAACAACAAAGAGTGTGTATAAAAGTCAAAATGTTCTTGTGGTTTTATTGTAAATCTGAAAATGGTGACATTTCCAAACCGCTGTGAGAAGAGTCAAACATGATTCAGTCAAAGCAGCAAGAACCTCTGAGGTCCAGAGAGCTGCTACTTCCAGGCTGCATGTGCCAACATACATACAGTATCTATAAGAAGTATTCGCCCTCCTTGGAAGTTTCCCCTTTTATGGCCTTTCTAACATTGAGACATTGTCAATATAATTTGACATTTTTGACAAAATAAAAGACTCCTCCATGTCAAAACAAAAACAGATTTTTACAAACTACTGCCAGGTATTCAAAAATATAAAATGTACAATAAGTGACCCACTAATTCAACACAGATTCAACCAGTTGGTTCTAGAAGTCCCACAAATAGTGAAAAAGAGATCATCTGAGTGCAGTGAATGTGGTAAAGTGATAAAGTAGTATAAAGACACGTGAACCTGGAAGGTCCAGGTACTGGTAAATCGGTACTTCTGACTATAGTTGCACCATGAAGACAAAGAATACAAGTAATTCCATGAAAAAGTCATCGAAAAGCACAAGTCAGGGGATCAACAAAAGAAAATTTCCAAGTCAATTATTATTCCTTAGAGTTTGTTGAATTCATTATTTGTGAAATGGAAGGTATATGGAACATGCAAGAAGGAGACGAGGAAGGCTTGTAAAGGTAGAGGGTAAAGTTAATGCAAAGTATAAGAAAATCTTACAGGACAACCTGATGCAGCTGCAAGAGAAGTGGGACTTGGAATAAGATTTGTTTTCCAACAAGACAGTGACCCAAAGTATACAGCCAAAGCTACACAAAAGTGGTTTAAAGACAAGCTGAATGTTCTGGAATCAAAGCCTATGCCTTTGTTCAGTTGTGAATTCGTAGCTGGGCTTGAAATGGCTGTTCACTCATGATGCCTATGCAATTTGACAGACCTTGTGGGGTAAAATTAGAGTATCCAGATGTGCAAGGCTGATAGAGATCTATCTATACAGGCTCAATGCTGTAATTGTGGCCAAATGTGCAATTAGTAATTACTGATCTAACGGCGGTAAATACTTAAGCAGTCACATTTTTAATTAATTAACATGACTTTGTAGAAATCTGTTTTCGCTTTGAGTCTTTTTGTAAATTCTTGTCCAGAAAGTAAAAAAGAAAAGTAATAGAAGGTTAAAGCTTCCAATTGATGGAGAAGAAATATTTGTGGTTTGTAGGTTTAAAATTAAGATGGACACGATTATGCACACCTCTTCAATAGATAGACTTTTTTTTTAACCCATTTCCAGCTCCAAGTGGACTCTGTGAATATGAACTACACCACTTTTATTCTACAGTTTGCGGACTCTCCCTGTGTA